GAGGTACGTGGTAAAATGCTTGAGTGACTGGGTTCATAGGCAGAGTCAGGCTAAGCCCTTCCTGCGAAATATTCCCCCTTCAGGTAGGGTGTATTTGCGCCATTAATAAACTTTAGTTCAGAGTATCGGAGCAGTGTGATTTCTGTGTGTATGGGTAGAACCTCGGCGTGGTGTCTGCGATTTGTGTGTGGTGCGACTGCGCGGGGAGACGGTGTGCGCGAGAGGGCAAGCGCAGGGCTTCAGCATCGGCACGATGGTGGTAATTTGAGCGTGTGTGTGAGGCGTGCGTGCGTGTATTAAAACATACACGGCCGCTGACGCTCGCGCGTGTGTGTGTGTGAAACACGATCGCCTGCAGTGTGCCGCGTGAGTAATTAAGACGGGGGCGGGGTGCAATAAACCCATGCTCGCGCGCGTTTACGCAGCGACAATAGCATTAAGGGCGAGGCGTGCATGTGTATTCATACAGCCCTTTAGCATTAGCCTTTGTGTGCTAGCAGATTAGGGCTTAACCACCTGGAGGAGCGCATATCAATACCACCGCCGTCCCGTTTTCTTTAGCGCGAACCTTTGCACGAAATACGCGCCTGAACGCCTCCGCGTGCGCTGGTGTGGTGGTGTACGTGGGCGTGAGATAACCCCAAACGGTGGTGAGCCAGTCACTTAGCCATGTCCGTCAGAGAGGGCGCTGGCGCGGGGGGAGGGGGCGTTTATTCGATCGGCGGGGGCCCGGCGAGATGGGACGAACAGCGCAGTGGAGGAAGGAGTGGAGGGGGCAAACGTTGCGCTCCACCTGCCCAACGAGGGCGGCGGGGCGGACGTCGGCCCCCACCACACTTCCGAACAATTGGGTTGCTTATTTAATGCAAGTTGGTTTTCCTGTTAGTCTGTCTGTCCGGGTATTGTTTATGCGTTATTAGTGTCTGTGGAGTGACTGACGACATTTACGATATTTTGTTGCAAACGATTTTAGTGAAAATCTTCGAGACGATTTTTTCTTTTCATTCAGAAATCCTGAAGAACCCGGCTAGCCACCGTTGATTGAACCGAGGTATCAAGTATAGCAAGTTGCCAGATTCAAGTCACCAATTAATTCAGAAACAGACCATCCTAATACTTAACGTGGTTTATGCCAACTTAAAAACATAAAAAAAATTACATTCAACTATATTGATTGGGCATATAAAGACCTACTGAAATTATTTAATAGCTAGTCCTGTCAGTGACATCTCCCTTGGAAACATGCTATATAACACTGACACGGGTTAGGATATCACGAAAATTGCTACTTACACTTCATAGTGGGTTGTAATTACTGGAAGAACATGCAAACTCCAAATATACAGCAGGCATCAAGGTCGGGATTGAACCCAGAACCTCCTGTATGCCAGGCGAGGGAGTTACCATCTCCCCACCAATGCAATTTGTTCCCATACATCAGCACTATCATCCTCCATGGTCATTCCACTGCTGGTTAAAGGCCTTCCCAAGCCCTCTCCATCTTTCACAATCTTGCGATCAAACCGCACAACCAGCACCAGCACACCAGCTGACTTCATTGCTCCATCTCCTCGGTGAACAGTGTGGCGACGTGGCCTGGCGCTACCGCGATCACAGCTCATTGGAGAGGTTCACGGTTCAAATCCAGCAGCTGCCCTGGTTATGACTGCGGGTGCAATAACCATGACACTGCACGCAGTCTGCTTCACATTGGACGTTAAATATCCCCTGACGTCATTCGCAGTAGGCCATTATGTGCCGGCATCAGCTAAAATGCACCGCAAATTACTCAATCGGGACACTCCACAGCAGTAGCAATCATCGCCCCCTACTGTCAGACTCATGCCGCAAGTCACTCTTGCAAATGAGTCATCATGGTCTCGCGTTCTCACCATCAGTTTAAACAACAAATTTGATACTTTTGGACGTGTTACTTTCAAAAGCTGCCACCATTCTTATTATTGATCGTAGGTCATCCCTTCCCACAGCAAGTCCTACCCAAGCCAACTTACCAGTTACAAATGTTAACCAGGTAATGTTCTCCGATTCTACATGTTCTTCTATCAATGTAATTCCAAGCGTGCATTTCTCCATGCTACTTTGCACACTTCTTAGTTGTTTTCCCTTTAAAATATATATTTATTTAGATGCTCTATAAAATCAACTACTAGCGTTGTATTGCGGTGGCTGGCGAAGATTGAGTTTTAGAACTCATGATAAATTGTAAAAGGTGCCTCATAAGCACAGGTTACGTTACTGTTAACACATACGACTGCAACACAACAGCAGTCTAAACAATATATTTATATATCAAAATAACAATTTCAACAATAACATTTCAACATTCTCAATTGAACTGCAAACATCACAACCAAGTGCATTTTTCTTCGGTGAAATGTCTTGATTTTTTTATTATTAAGAACTGTGGGCGAATGTAAGTGTAATCTTTCGCTTGTGTAGAAACAGCTGATGGCACAGATTCATCAATCGCCGACTGCCAGAACCCCAGAAAAATGAAGCACCGTGGAAAACGTCGAAGAGAAACTCTTCCTCGAATGTAATGCTCCTGCCACTTCCGCTGGGGCAGTGAAAAACATCTCCTGCTCGTAACAGATTCACGAATCAAAAAGAGACCGGCGTTTAAGTATTTAAAATATATTTACATCGCAAGATTGTGAGATGTGGTCACTTGTGGAGGCGCCTTCATCAAGCAGAATATGGGCAATGCCAATATGCAACTCAGAAGCCAACATTTTTAACGGCTGGGCCGAACGACCTTTTGGGGGAATTGGTTAATGTTTACAAGGAACCTTAGCATCATTAAATGAGGTCATCACTCATTCTGTTAACAGACTTGACAGTCAGTTGGCAGGGGTATCTTGAACACTGCCACATTTTTCTATTCAGTTGGAGAGGTAGATTTCACTTGTAATACCGTTTTCTCTGGATTTTAAAACTCCAAGAAACAAGTTTTAGGTGTCTTAATTTCTGGTGTCGATGGTCAAACACATACACATAAGGACTTGTGTGTTATTCACCTACCAGATTATCTCAGTGCAGAGATCACAGTAATTGAACTGGATGATTCGCCTCTCGTATTCCACCACTTTCAACCACCTGGAAATAAACCCAAAATCACCCTCACCACGTGGGATTGCTAGGGACTTAACAACTTCGGATTTCTATCCAAGTTTGTACAAGTGGGTGGGCGAGTGGGAGTGCAGCGGTTTGAGCGCAGCGTGGTAAAAAGTCGCTTCTTGAGTTGGAGTTCAATTCTCGGTCACGTCAGTGGCGAGTAATGTCTGAACCGGTCCTAGAGACACTACCCGGTCCAAATTACTACAAAAAAACACGAGGTAATGAGTAACTCCAAATTTGCAGTAAATAGGACCGGTAAATATGCAGTCATAGTTTGTGCGACTAGTGACCCCTGCAACCCTACGTTTATCAACCCACATTGACTCAAGTGGTGAAGCATGGTCAAACGAACCCCAGCAGTGGATTTAACAAGGACTGTAAAGAATGCACATAATTTACAACCTTACAATTAGCATGGTTGGCTACGTACGGTGCGAAAGAAGATCAACATACATGTTACAATAGAAATGGAGGTCCGATGTATAAACCTGGGATTATTACGAATACTATTACAATGGGAAGATGCACGGGCAGGTTGCATGGTGAGGTAATATGCGAATACTCCTTTCTCTTCGAAGACGTCTGACTAAAATATCCTCCTCTTGGGGGGGGGCAGCTCCGCCGGGCAGTAGACCTTTCGGCAAGTGGCCACGAGCAAGAAATTGCAGGGTTGCACCTTCACCTATTAAACTTGATTCGAAGCTTTCGTGACCGCAGGAATTACTCTTTGGTTCTTTCGGTAAAGTCGCGTAGAAAGAAAATACATTAAATAATAGAATACGACGTTTCGAATGCAACACAAGCAGTCGTCATCAGGTAGAACTAAATTTGAGAGACAAAACACAGACACGGAGACACACAGACAGACAAGCAGAGAGACAACACAGAGACCCAATGCCTCCTGTTGTGGACTTAAATAGAAAGGGGGGGGGGGCAGAGAGAGAGAGGTGGGTCTGCTGGAGCAGATAAATTAGCATGTCAATGAGATCCGTGTGTAAATCCACCCCGCGGTAGCAGGGGGAGAGAAAGACCCGCCACAGGGTCGATTTACACACAGCTCTCATTGACATGCTAAATTATCTGCTCCAGCAGACCCACCTCTCTCTCTGCCCCCCCCTTTCTATTTAAGGCCAAGAAACAAGAGGCATTGGGTCTCTGTGTCTATGTTGCGTCTCTCTCTGTGTCGTCTATCTGCTTGTGTGTCTGTCTGTGTCTCCGTGTCTGTTTTGTCTCTCAAATTTAGTTCTACCTGATGACGACTGCTTGTGTTGCAATCGAAACGTCGTATTCTATTTTTTTACATGACTTTACCGAAAGAACCTAAGAGTATCATCACCTATTACTATAACAGATGACAGACTAAAAAACGCGAGCTACCTTCATCGACAAGCTCATCAAAATACATCGCTAGGCGTGTTCGCGCACGAGCGTAACGCATATTCGCTGCAAAGGCCGTAGTGTAGTTGGCATGGCCGCTGGTTGCAAGGAATGAAATGGTCCAACTCCCTTGTTAAATTTCCCTGAGCCCCTCCTCTTCATAAGCCTGGACTCCCTCCTCTGGCCCCGTGGATCTCGTGCAGCTGTACTACCCCTACACTCGATAGCCGCGCCACTGCTTAACTAGAACGTCAAGTAATAATTGGCGTAACAAATCCAACCGAGTTTGAGACCTCAAGAAGAATGTTTTGTACTGGTCGAGAAACTCGAGTTTAAAACGTTTGGCAGTTCAAAGACAACTTCTTTATCCTTAAAATCAGAAGCAGTGTCCTTACAAACCAGCTTGCCAGTGTAAACATGCAAAAACACCAATCGCAGCAGTTTAATCAATCTTGTACCATAAAATAATTTACATTATAACTGGGTTTCGTTTTCTCGCACTTAGTTTATTTACACATGCACACCGTTGGGTAAGATTACTGATATCCATGACGTTACTGTCGTCAATTAACTTTACTTTCGTTCAGCACCACCAACAATTTGGGGTGCGTGTGCCTGGCACATTATCTACACGGTCTGAAAATATGCTTTTGGTGTTGTTAGTTTGGTGTCTCGGCTTGAACATTGATCAGCCGCACGAACATAACACATTTCATGGACCAAACCGCAAAACACCAATACTTCCGGCTCAATGAATGTTCAATCCCCCCTTTCTCCCCACCACCGTGCATCCGTCGCAGAGTGCACCACTTGACAAAAGGTTAGAGGTAAAAAAAACTCGCCGACAAACGCCGCACCTCGATTTCCGAGATGTTTGTTATACTTTTGGCGCATTCGAAACGTACGTTATTGACAGAATACAAACGATTGGGAGCAAATTTCGCCATGAGCGCTTAATTCAAGTGTGGTGGCTAATTGGCGAAATACTTCAGATTTTTTTGCCGAACAGATTTTTTTAATCAGACTTTATCGGACGTTATTACAGACATGCACTTAAACACAGCCCAACTTTTATTGGAAAAAGGCAGTAAATCTCCAGACAACACTTTGAAATGGTGCATCATGACTTTGAACTGCCCATGTTTCCACAGTGGAGACGCACAGCGTGAGCTCATCGCACAAAAACCGGTTCAACAAAAATCGACTTATCACGGCAAAACTGCCACATCCGAGACAGTGCTGGATAAATTGTAAGCCGGAAATGCGCTGAGAGATGCAAAAAAACTGTGCTTTACAGTTTCAGATGCAATACCTGACCCAGCCTGAAGATTATTCATGCCCAGGGCATAATTTCAACCAGGTCAGTTCACAGCTAAATCCATCAGCAGGGCCGCCCGCACACGGTGGAGCAAATTGTCGGTACTTCCACCTCTTCCAAGAATACTGGCCAGTGTAGAAGAGGCCAACTATCCTCTCAAGGTAGCTTCCTGAGAGCTTCCTCTTGCAGAGGGCCTTTCTGCTGCCAGTCGTGAAGCAGGGAAGAAATTGCAGGGCTGCACCATCACATATGTGGGAAGCTGACCCCAGAGAATATTTCTGCACTCAGCACACCACAATCCACATGGAAAATATTCGGGGCCAACTTAAGAGGGTGGCTGCCAAGGCCCGCTGTAGTGTGGCAAATAGTGGTACGGCTGCTGGTACGTCTGTGCTGGGCTGGCCTGTGGCGGTCGGGCAGTTGCCGTTGGGCCTGGAAGGGTGCCAGTCGACCCCACAAACATCCACGGAGGCGGTTGAACAGGCGGAGGGCTATTTGGGTGGACGGTCGGACAAGGCGGCGGAAGAGTCCGGCAGGAAGGGGGCGGCATAGTCGGGCAGGAAGGGGGTGGCACAGTCGGGCAGGAAGGGGGCGGCATCATCCCGAACTGGGGTGGCGCTATCGGGCAAGAAGGGGGCGGCACCGTCGCGCAGGGAGGAGGTGGCAGCACGAACCCAGGTCGCGAGAGGCACGGCTGCACCCCCTGGTGCAATGCCTGTGACAGGAATAGCGGTGGCAGTGGCGGCGGCAGAAGAGGCTGCAGTGCGCAATCAGACGGTTGCCTTGGCGGTGGCAGCGATTTAGAGGGTGGGCACTCTGGTGGTGGTGGTGGTGGCGGCAGTTCTGGTGGCGGAGGAGGGGGGCTGCTGGGTGGGAGCGGCGGCTGTGGCGGTATTTTCGGCTGGGCAGGGAGGACTGTCATTGCGGTGGTGCTGGTGGTCGGGAGGTGCTGCTGCTTTATGGTGCTGCCTGACTCCTCAGTTGGGCACCTGCTGCTGGCACTGGCGGATGTGGCGTCAGTGGTGCTGGAGTCCTTGTTATTCTGCTCTGGGTCTCCTGTCTGGCACCAGGGCTGTGTGTGTGGTGCTTGCGACGAATGCAGACCACGGTCCAAAGAGTCGTCTACAGAGCAAGAAGGGGATAAAAGTTTTTATGAATAGGAGAGCACATCCACAAATTGGCAATGTGCAGGTGCAAGGTGGATGATTGATGATGAGAATGTATTCAAAACATTAGGCAACCTCACAGTGCAATTTAAAAACAAAATTGTTCCAATAATGAAAGCAAACATTTTTTACGTAATTGATCAATGGTCATAGAAAATATGACTTACCTATGGCACAATATGCGGACGCACCCCATCGCCATCTCAGCGTAGATTAAATAGTCAGCTCGCAGGAGTACGTCCCGACACCACAGTGCAATATTATGAAAAGCAGTGATGAGTGTTGTATATGATCAGTCCCGTGCCTTAAAGTGCTTTGAAAATTGTTATAATTTCAAATAAAATAATGAGTGCTTTTGGTATTTGTGCCATTCTATTACGAGGGTGCTGTCGCAAATGACCAGTCAGCAGTAGGTTCATGGTAGAGGGCGACAACTGCTGCAAGTTCTCCCAATTAACACGCATCAAACTATGCACACGTAAGAATTACAGTCCGTTCTTCTATCACACGTGTTTTCTCATAACGTGAATTGGATATAACGCGATGAATGTATTAGGGAAAAAATTATGACGCGGATGCGAATTGGATAACGCATTTGAGTTAACAGAAATCGATTCCTGAATCACGATGATTCCTCGAATGGCAAGGAAGAGGGGAGAATGAATCGTCGCAAGCGTAGCTTGGCACTCACCTCGACCCGGAGAACGTCTCCTCCTCCTCTCCGACTCTTCCTCCGCACTGCTCTTCGTGATCCTCATCCTCTCTGGGGGAGTCTTCCATTGCTGCTGATCTCCGCTCGGTGTCTCCGCGCGCTTCTCCGTGCAGCCGTCCCGGTGGAACGCGGGCGGCGATAGCATTTCCGCTGCCCCCATCTTTGACTTCTCCGTCAAGCCGTCGGCCCTGCCTGGCTTCTCCCTGCCATGCGCTGCCACCGCTGCCGTCGCCATTCCCGCCGTGTGTTGGTTGCCCTGCTTGTGTCGCAACTTTATCTCCTCCCAGAGCGACAGCGGCTTCAAAATGTTCTTCTTGCGCTCACTCTGGCAAGACGGGTGAACCGTCAGCCTGGACCGGTCAGGCAACCCCCCGACTCTAACCTGCCCATCTCCTTGAAGGAGCAACGCACCCCGTTGACCTTTCGCATTGTCGCCAGATGAAGAAAATGATGAAACACGTAAATGCAACACAGCGGGAGGAGTGGGGAGATCGCTAATTGCCCTTTTCTCATCACACTGCTTCCTCTCATCGGGGGTATCGCTTACGCCATCATCATCACGTTTCCCGTCGGACTCCGCCTTGGTGTCGCGTGGCGGCGGTCCGGGCGGCTCTCCAACGTCTGTCCTCCGCCTCTTGCACTCGGCCCGCTCATCCGGTGGAGTCGCCGGTCCATGTTTTCTGCCGCCGGCGAGGTCACCCGCGAGGTCATGGTTGCCCTCCTGTGAGATTGGGATACTGGGACAAAGGCTATCGTGGGTGGCATTGCCCTGGCCGTTGTGCTTCCCCGCCTCCAATTGCGGCGCCGCCACCATCACTGCCGCCAGCGCTTCTGGCTTTTGCTGCTGCTCCTTCCTTGAAGATTGCTGTGGGGCGACAGGGATCCAAGTCTCGCCGCTTTCGCGCTTGTCGTAGGGAGACGATGACACTGCCGCCTCAGCTGCTGGCGGCCGCTCGTGCACAGAGGTAGCGAGCCGGCTATGGCGAGAGTCTTTATTATCTTTCTTATCTACCGGCGGTGCTGGGGCGGCAAGACTGGGCTGCCTATCATGCCTGGGGAGGAAGAGCTGCCTCTGTTGGCTGCCGGTTTCTTCATCGTCTTCGAACGTCATCTGCGGGGACGGCTTCGACTGTTGCCCGTGCTCTGAAATCGACGACGAGAGCGCATAAGAAAAGTTCTGGGTGCTGCTGGGCTTCTCTGCCCACAGCTGGCTCGACGCGGGTGTCACCACTGCCAGGCACTCTTCGTGCATAGCGACGGATGAACCCCTTTGCGTTTTCCCCTTCTCTTCAGGCGACATGCACACCGCCACTCGGGGCAGATGCTCGGTTCCTGCCGTGCAGCCGCTCTCCGTCTTCTGCTCCGGAAGCTGCTGCCCGTCTTCGTGAATGGCGAACTGCAGGATGGGACACCTCCTTTGGGAAGCATCCCTCTTCTCGAACGCCGCCAAGGCTGCTGTTTTGGGCTGCAGTTCTATGCTGACGGTGGACAGCGGCAGGAGGGGTGCTTTACTTTGTCTGCCATCCACCTTTTCTTCCATCGACTTTGACGAAACTAGACTCAACTGCTGCTGCTCTTGTTTGTAACTGGAAGACAAAACAGACGCCCACTTACGCTTTCTTTCCTTCTTCTCTACCAATGGCGGAGACTTGAAATACTGCCGCTGCTGTTGTGACTGCTGCGGGACAAGAATACACCTCTGTTTTTCTTCTCTCTTCGTCTCTGCCAAAACCACCGAAGCAGCTGCTCCAATCTGCTGCTCGCGAGGGGTTACAGGCGGTGAGACAAAACGCCCTACCTGGCTACCATCGTCGTCCACCTCTCCGGTCAGTGTCGACGCAGCTGAATTGGGAAGTCGCTCACTCTTTCCGGCACGCGAGTGGGCACGGGGCGAGCTCTGGCCGCTTTTTTTCTCCGCTCTTAGAGGCGATGGCGGCAAGACCACCGTGGCCTGCCGCTGCTGGTTCTCATCGGTGGACAGATGGATGGCAGAGGAGCTAGTTTCGTCGTCTTCCCTCTTTTCCAAGGGCACTGGTGCTGCAGCTTTTTCTGAGGCGGAATACCAGCCCAAGCCTCCGTACGTCCCATCTACTTGCAGCGTTTCTATCGTCTCTCCTGGCGGTCTCAAAGCACTTGTGCGCTGTTGGTGCTGCTCCACCAAGCTGCTACGCTCAGTTTCTTTCTTTACCACCGCTGATGCAGAAGGTTCCACTCTCGGCTGCAGCTCTTGTCTCAGAGCTGACAGAGTGGTGGTGGAGGAGCAACACTTCCGCTTGCCTTCCCTCTTTGCTCCCGATGTTGTGGACGTGACCGCCGCAGGCCCCTCTTCTCGGGTGGACGAGGACGACGTTACCAAACAACTGCCCCGGCTGCCATATTCCTCCTCGTCCAGCAGCATCGACGACACCACCACGGGCCGCTGTTCTTTATCGAAGGTAGGCTGGCGGATGAAGGTGCTGCTCTGCTCCTCGGTATCCTTCTCATCCGACGACGTGGCTGCCTTCAGCTGCTGCTCAGGTCGCGGCGGTGTTCGAGGAATGGGGGAAGGACTCGGCACAACGACGGGTGTCTCATCACATACTGTCGACGTTACTGGGTCGGGTTGCCGCTCACCACAGATGGTGGTTGAGTGGACGAGGGAGCAGCTCTGGGCACCGACTTTTGTCGCGTCATCCGACAAGGGCCGAGAGGCCACTTTTATTTCCTGGTTCTTCACTCTCATTTGCTGCTGCTGCTGTTGCTGCTGCTTAAAAGAAGGGACGGAGCTTGCCGAGATCAAACTACAGCCGCTTTCTTTCTTCACTTCTTGAGCAACCGATGCAGGCCGCGTCGGCTGCTGTTCCCACTTTTCAATGGACGGGGGGACAAGAGGACTGTTCTGGTTGTCAGCTTCCTTCTCTTCCGCAGTAAGTGCTTTCAGCCACTGATTGTCGTGCTCAACAGGTTGACTCTCCCAACTGCTCATTTTCTTCCCATCCAATGACGCCGCCATAGACGCTTTTCTCGGCAGCGGGTCAGGTTTGACTGCGGGTCGCAAGACGTTCGGCCAGAACTGGCCGCTCACGTTCTGATCCTCCAATGCTGCCGATACCGCTACAGTCGACATGGGTCCTTCTGACTGTGGATCACGTTTGGCAGCGGGCGGTGGAACATTTGGCCGGGTCTGGTTGCTTTCTTTGAGATCGGGTAATGCTGCTGGCGCCGCGACCTGGCCCTGCCGCTCTTGCGCTGGTGGTAACGACGGTTGTGGCGGTTGCGGTGGCTGTGACGGATTTGGCGGTAGCGGCCGCACGAGCGGCCAGCCCTGCTTCCCGGCGTCTTTCCTCTCTTCCGAAGGCACAGACATCGGAGGTCGCTGTAGGCCAAGGTTCAGCAGCTTCGTCTTGGCGTTGGGCTCAGGCGGGTGCTGCAGGCACGCTTCTCGCTCTTTGCTCTGCTTGGCGACGTTGGCGGCGGCCATCGCCATTCGCCGGTGGGTGGGCTCGAAAGCACCCTGGTGGAATTTGGTGATGAAGTCCGAGATGGTGCTGACGGCGATGCCGGCATTATGGAACCTGCTGACGTTCTCTTCCACGTTGCCTGCGCGCAGACACACACGGGAGGTGTTGTTTTGCGAGCACCACGGTCGGGGTGCACTCGGAAGATGGCGTGGGCGAGCGTGGTTGAGCGTGTATGAGCACAGATGAACGTTGTTGGGTAATTGTGATTGGGCGAGCGTGGGTGAGCACAAGTGATTGTGGGCGAGTGTGGGGGAAAAACAGCATGAGTATGTACAGGTCGTCGGTGAGTGTGGCGAGGCGAGTTCCTCACGGGTAAGCGACACAGCAAGCCAGCCAGCACTACGGATTTAGCACCTGCAGGTGACTCTAACGGTTGCCTGGGTGAGCGTGCCTGGGTGAGCGTGGCCGGGTGAGCACGGCCGGGCATGGCCGGTTGAGCGAACCCCTCACCGGTGAGAAAGACGGTGTAGCGACACTGCGGACTGAGCGCCTGCAGGCTGACCGCACAACCCAGGAAGCCAAGGCTGGCGTTACAAGCGTCGTCGCACGCGTGGGGAGGGAGGAACTCCGCCAGCTGCTGCCGCTCGGCGCCCAGCACCAAGGACAGCACGTCACCCCACACGCAGCTCTCCCTGGCAACGCGCGGACAGGGAGAGAGGGAGACATGGAGATGATGGAACGAGACACACGGACAGGGAGACGGACAGACAGAGAGGTAGAGAGACAGATAGAGATGGAGACAGGAAGAGGGGCAGAGGCAGGGAGATAAGATATAGATGGGGTGAAAGACAGGGAGATTGGAGAGACAGGCAGAGAGAAAGACAGAGAGAGATAGGCATACTGGCAGAGAGATGGAGATAGGTGGAAAGAGATACAGTTAAGCAGAAAGACAGGCAAGCAGAGACACATATGGTTAGACGCGGAAAGAGGCAGATGGGAAAAAAAAAGAAAAAAAACCAGGCAGATGCAAAAATACAGATCCCTGTATAGCCTTAACAGATTGTTGGGGCAAGTGTTGTTCGCAAGTAGAACCGATCAAGGCCGGCACAGTACGAGGGGGTGGGTGAGCCAGCACGCACGCACACGGTAGGTCAACAACCTACTTGCTCCACTGCCCTCTAAGAGACCATCCTTTGGCCATAGGCCTAGCCCTCCGCAATGCTGGTCGGGGGGGGGTTCTCACCGTCCAGCTGTGTGGAGGTTCTTCACCATGCGTCCGTGCAGCTTCCACACCCACCGACTGCCCACCGAGTTCAGCGACCGCAGCACGCCGATGAACTTCTGCACCAGACCTGCGGTGGGGCGTGGGGGGACGGTGCCCGTGGCGTCAAAAGAATGCGATGCAGAAATAATTTTTGCTGTTCGTCACCATCATTGCACCTCCAATTACCGCGGTTGGATACGTCGTTAAACATTCCTACGTACATCATCGTACATCATCAGCCATGGTCAATCCACCGGTGTATGAACACCTCCACAAGCCGCGGCAACCTCTCACAATCCCGAGTTGATTTCACAACTCCATGTCCCCCAGGGCAAGCATCCTCTCGGAGATATCTTCCATTCCTTGGCTGGCACTCCTTAATTATTCTTGCTGACATTTCCTGCCCAGGCTCACTTTTTTATGAATAGTTCGAATTATGTCATCAAACTCTCATTCACATGCCCCTATTTCTGTCTCTCAAAATGAATTCCAAGCATGCGTATCTCAATTTGCTGCTTTCATGTAATTATTACCGAGGTCTCCATATAAAAACCAAACTGTTCTCAAAGGTCTTTAAATAAAACAAACATTGTTGCTGTTGCTTGTGGAAGTACAATAAATTATCGTAATCAACGGAGAGGTGTGTTGTTTGCAGGCCTGGACTGAACACCGGTTGTGCAATTCCGAATGAACTGCGGTCAGCATGCAATTGTTTTGTTTACTTCACGATGCCACTGTGATTATAATGATCAGAATCAGAATATTTACTTAAACTGGAGGAATCCGATGAGCCCTATAGCTCTTTTTCACAGATATCCAGTCGGGGCATGGGGTCAGAACGTTACAACAACAAACAATAGAAAAACATAATAGCAGTGCAAAGTATAGGAAAGGCAAACAAATTAGGTCCGTGTGCCAGTGGTGAGCAAAGCAGTGGTAGCAGTGGTAATGTTGAGGTGAGAGAAGCAGTGATGACGATGATGACGGTGCTTTGCCAGGTGCGATTATGTAACGACACAGACGGCAATTACTAAACGCCAGAGACCACGATGACAGAAACGACATGAATTATGATGTAGTTGACGGCTCCATGCTTCAAGTTGATTTTATTTAACATGCGATGAGAACTCCAAACAAGAGACCGGGATATATTCTCATTTGGCAAGGGTGACCCGGCTCACCAAAAACAGTGGGGCCTACCCACCAGGGTCGCTGGCTGCCTCTTTGAGCGCAGTGTCATCCGATACGAGGAAGCCGCCCAGGTGCAGCAGCTTGCGGAACGAGCGGTTCGTGATGTCAGCAAGGCCGTCCACGCCGGCGAAGCGCACGCCGGACGACGCTTGTCGCAACTGCAGCAGCCGTGGGATCTGGTGGAGACAGTGATGCGCGGAAATCGCCGGTCAACGCAAGCGACCCTCGTGGGGGAGCGAAAGGAAAAAAACATGTAAACTGCAAACCCAACAGCAAAAATCCTGAACTGCGATCCGACCAATAAATACCCTGCCAAAACTCTGAACCGCTGGTTTCCTATCTTAGGTACGGCAATCACCGCCTGTGTTGATACAATTACAATAGTCAGTTCTGCTATAACGCTGTGTGTTTTCATAACGCAAATTGGATACAACGCGATGAATCTATTAGGGGACACATTTTTTATAACACGGATGCGGATTGGATATAAGGCGATTGAGTGAACAGAACTACGTCGCGAGAGTAGGAATAAGCGTTTGTGCAGTTGCCACGGCATAGCATTATCACACAAGGCGCGATGCTGCTGGATACTTCGAGATGCTTCGAGATGCTACCCACGTGCCTCAAGTCTATGTTCAGCCTGCATACGCATTGAACGTGTTACCGCGTACTGCGCTTTACTCCAAATTATATAATTATTTATAGATTTGAAGCTCTCGTGACTGCAAGGATCCATACTCTTCGGTTCTATTCGGTAAAGTCAAGTAGGTAAAAAATAAAACAACAAAAATCACGACGTTTCGGCCACAACACAAGTGGCCTTCATCAGGTGAAGGGACCGTGCTGTGACGAGGACAGCGTTGGAGTGAAGACAGTCCAGCCCAGGTCGCGTCCTTTTAAGCTGTGTGGGAGGAAACAAAACGCTTTGACAAAGGAATTAGCATAACATGACCGTAAAGCGTAGGAGGACCGGCAAGGAGGGGGGCAGCGGAGTTTACAAATGTTGGTGTGAAGGGAAATAAGCTGCTATGAAAGTTTGGTATATCACTACTTGGATAAATATACTGTACCATTGAAAATTAGTTTAATGTTTGGTATGATTTAGAGCATCTTTCCAATGGTTGCTTAATTTGAAACCATCTTATCGGTTGAAATTGTGTCTGTTTGTAAATCTGAATTGCCTCGTGGATAAATCTCTGATGAAAACCCGTGGGTTTACAAAGGACCTTGGTATCGGAGAAAATTTATATCGTGATCACCCACAGCGTTGTAACAGTGGTCAGCCACGGCAGAAGAATTCGTTCTGCCATGTTTCAAATCTGATTTGTGCTCGCGAATTCGGTCAGACATGTCGTTTCGTCTCCCCGATAAAGCAATCACCACAAGTGCAGCTCAATTTGTAAACCCCGGGGTACTGTAAGTATATTTATTCTAGTAGTGGTATTCCAAACTCCCAGGGTGGTGTATTATCATCTTGTGCTAATTCCAAGCTTTGTCAGTGGTGCGTTTCATGCTAATTTCCTTTGTCAGGGCATTTGCTGTTTGCCCCCTCACAGCTTAAAGGGAGGCGACCAGCGCTTGGCTTTCTTCACTCCAACGCTGTCCGCTGGACAGGTTGGTCCCTTCACCTGATGAAGGCCGCTTGTGTTGTGGCCGAAACGTCGTGATTTTTGTTTTAATTTTTACCTACGTGACTTTACCGAATAGAACCAAAGAGTATGGATCCTTGCAGGCACGAAAGCTTCAAATCTCCCCTCCCCCTCCCCCCCTCCTTGCCGGTCCTCCTGCGCTTTACGGTCATGTTATGCTAATTCCTTTGTCAAAGCGTTTTGTTTCCTCCCACACAGCTTAAAAGGACGCGACCTGGGCTGGACTGTCTTCACTCCAACGCTGTCCTCATGACGGTACGGTCCCTTCACCTGATGAAGGCCGCTTGTGTTGTGGCCGAAACGTGGTGATTTTTGTTGTTATATTTTTTACCTATGTGACTTTATATATTTATAACGTTATTTTTCTGTAACCCCGAGTTCTTCAGGAACGCAACTACCGTGTTATAGCAGAGACTGTACAGCATATACACTAAACTATTCTATTCATCAGGTGAAGCCCAATTAGCTATTAGCTCTTTTTCAGAGGTGACCTGGTCTCACACGATAGCTTGTCGCAGTGGCATAATATCACATGTGGAAATTTAGAGTAGCAGCCAAAACTAAAGGACCCGGAGAAAAGTTTACTTGACCACCACTGGGAGAGAGAACACGTGAATTCCCAAATATACAACAGGCATCGTCAGGGTTTGGGATCTAACCCATGACCTCCTGCATACCATAATCCTTTACCAGTCCACTGCTGCACGAATGCCTTGCCCACCCCATGTTGGGACACAAAAGGCTGTGTGACCATACTTCACCATGCTGGTCAGTGAAAGGTGGTGGGGGGGCGGAACAGGACCACAACCAGGAATTGAACTCGGACAGCTGAAATAACTAGGTTAATAGAACAGTATGCTAACCACTGCACTCACTGCTCCCCACAAGTGTTTAGAGAAGCACATATGCCATGCTGGGAAATTAAACATAGGTTCCAAAGTTCAAAGCAAAGTGCTAACCACTGTGCACTACTCCACCTCTGTCTGACAGCCTCAAGATAATTATATTTTTGTTTTCCTGTTGTTGCACAGGCGCACTTAAATTGTGATGAACTATTTTGAAGCTTTGCAAGACCACGACTGATGCCAGCTATTGTCAGGATAGCTGGGTTAATAGCGCACACACACATTGAACATTACTCCATTTCACACTGATACACCCTCAGTTTCATCATTAAAGACCAAGATCCCCCGTATGGCCTGTACAGACTGTTGGGGCAAGCACTGTTCGCGAGCACCTTTGAAGGCCGGCCCGGCACACGAGAAGGTGGGTGGCCAACTGTCTATATCTGTGGTGGCAAGTTTAACGACATTTATATTTACGTGATCTAACCCAAAACACCTATATTATGGACATTAGTCGCAAAAGCCTACGTGTTAAACTGCTTTTATCTCCCTAGTGCTGTTATTTACACATGGCACCAGATACTAATTTTGAAGCTGAGTGGACCTAGGGGAGACCCAGGATCATTTCAGATAATCATCACTGGTGTTAGTCATGAGCAGGAATCAAACTCGGTTCGCAGAGTTCGTAGTGCAGCGCGCACTCCCTACCATAACACACCCTCACATAGACACTTGACACTCTTACACACTGATACACCCGAACATACTCGAACCATTGGAGACCTTCACACCCACACACACAAACAAAGCGAGTAAATACGGCAATGCGCGAGTCACTGCACCCACCGCGTGCTTTCAGTTGCGCTTTTGTGGCCGTCTAGAACCTTCTTCCTTCCGATATTAGGCCACTGGAGCTATGCACTTTTAAATCTAGATGGAAAACTCATTTCTTTAGAAATGCTTGTTTTTAGTTTGTTGTCCTTCCCCCTGCACCTCTGGGGGTTACAATTATTCTCAGAATACTCCCAAAGTTAACAAATACTCAGCGTGGAAATATTGACCATTGACACGGACTCTCTGTGTGGCCCATCCACCCCGTTTTACCGTGTGCAGGATGCTTCCGATGTCCTTATTTCTAATCACGACCAGCGCTCGTTTGCTACTAGTCTCGTATTCGGCCAGTCGCCCGTCTTGGATCTCCTCCCAGTTCTGCAGCCGCAGGTATTCCTAATGGGAACGAAGCACAGCGGGAGAGGTGAGTTGAGCGAGGTGAAGGATTTAAAGATCGACGCTGTTTTATCGACAATTGTTTAGGCAATCAATTATCGACTCCCAAAGTTAGGGGAGCCGACAATCAAATCTGGTCCAATTTCAGTGTCGATCAAACCAGCTGGTATGCAGGAACATTCAAACCTCACAGGGTGCTCAAATGCGAATAGTCACCTGATGACCCATTACATACTATGTAAAAAAACCATAGCCTCCTTGCAGTGACAGCGTGTTATGTTGAATGAATGGGGTACGGGTCCAGGGCTGGTTGCGCTATCACTCGTCGCTGATGTTAACTGACGCCGGCAATTGAAAAAACATAGTGCCGGCTGATGAAGTTTGGTAAAACTGAAAATGAAATGGTGTTATGATTTCCCATTCGATTATCATGAACAATCAAACAATCATAATAGCCACCCTGTATCCACACAATTCCACCTGTTTGCCCACACCACCCCACTCACTCGCTCACCCTAATTGGCTCCAGCTCAGGGTCGGCAGGAGAGCCATGCACGTAGAAGGCGTCTCTCTGGTCCACCAAGCCTGGCACTGCTTGCGTGTCGCTCGGTTGCCCGGCCACTGCTGTTGCCGGGCCCAAACTCAGGCCGGCTGGCACAACCTCCGGCTGGAGTGTGCTCGGAAGAGAGCCGGCGCCGATACCGACGGGCACAACTTGGCAGGCGGTGATATAATCCGGCCGGGCGGTACTGACGAGTTGAGGCGAGGGCTGTTCGGTGTGTGGAAAGCGCAGGCAGGTGGTCTCTGGCGGAACGTCGCCGATGGGGTGTGGCGGTGGTAGCTCCACAGAGGACGGATGCCAACCCAGACGCCCGCTTGCGTCTGGCTGGGAACAGATCCAGCCTGCCCAAGGGAGGTCGGTCTTGCTGGGCTTGGCAATGTGGCGAGCGTGAACGACTATTGGAGGGCGTGTGTGATGACAGAAAAAAACCAAACACATAACACGAGTGTTATCTTCCAGCTGCCAAGGAAGGGTGGAGTGGTGGCGCAGTGGCGAGCGCACTGAGCTACGAACTTGGTAACCTGTTCGATTTGCGGCCATGGCTAACATCAGTGTCGAGTGAAATCTCAGCAGGTCCTGGGCCTCCCCTTCGCTTTACAAATCTGCTCCGAGTGGTGTGGGGAAGTAGTGAAAAAAACGGGGTAAGGGGTGGCCCAGATAATGCAAAACAAATATACAAATAATGCTAAACATTTATGTCTTATATATGTAGAATGAAGGCCAAGACATGGAATGTCCGAAGTTTGTATTGCTTCTTAAAATAATCGGTCAACTTGCCGACATGTTTGTGATCAAGTGGGCACTGAGCCGCTGACCTTCAACAAAGTGAGGAGCAGCTAATAATTAAATCCGTGCACACGCGAAGATATTTCATTTATTTGCCTGACCTGAACTGCTTGCCAGAGTCGCATCGCATCGCTGCTCCATCAAGTCACCCCATCCTCCTCCTTTGACCTCCGACCCCGTGACCCTCACGTCCGCCTCGTCCTCACACCCTTCCGAGTCTTCATCGAGATCCATGCTCACCGGGCTTCCCGGCCACGTCACGGACTCCACAGTCGGTGACCACGCCGCCACCGCCGCATCCCCATCTTCTCTCCTGGAAGAGCCGGCTTGGAAATCCTGAACGGCAACCGCCATCGTCACCACTGCCGCCTCTTGCTGGATTCCACAATCCCGGCGGCGATCGCATCTGTCGAAGTAAGAGTCGTCAAGCGATACCCTCTCGTACGACCGCACAGCGGCCGTCGTCGACGTCCTGTGGTTTGACTCCTCATCTTCTTCACCTTGCTCATCACCAGCAGTTGCGTGCAGCCGGTTATGCTTCTGCACACGCTTCAGGTAGCTGCAGATCTTGCTGGCGAGCGACTCCGACTTGAGCTGCTCCCGCATTTGGTAGATCAAGGTGTCGGCGTTGGTGCCGACTCCATCTGCCGGCGGCACGTGCACCGCGTGCCGACCCTCAGCTGGCGACCGCAGATCCCAGCCCGCTGAGCGGCACAAGCCGTCCATCTCCCGCGCAAGCATAGTGGCGCAGTCGTCGGCGACCTCGTCCACAGAATGCAGCTTCTTGAAGCGCCGCGACTGCCCGAGTCGACCCTTGACCTCCCCAGGGCGACACTGCTGCTGCTGCCACCTGTCCAGCAGGTCCAGCGGTGGTATGGACGGCTCTGCCACGCCGGCGATCTCATCCATCGAGCGTACGAGGGACAACACCGGCTCCTTAAGTTCAATCCAGCCGCAAAACGGGCCGCGTGGTAAAATCGGATGCCCGGGAGCTGACTTCAACAGCGATGGAAAACGCGGGAAAAAGTCGGCACAGTCATCGGAATCAGAGGTGGACGCTGAAGACACGCTTGATTTCGTGACAGAGGACTTGATGTGTTTCACACATTTCCCGAGCAGCCGCTTGCTGTGTACTTGACCGTCCGGGTTATCATCAAAGCCCTCGCTCTCATTGGAGTCGCCATCACCAACACCACCACGGGTGTCACCATTGACACCGCTATCGACGCCGCCACTCCACAAATTGCTGACCATCTGCCTCATGGAGGCGAAGACATCTTGAGTTTGCGGCGCAGGGAGGTCAGCGAGGTTGGCGGTTGGGGTTCCATCGGAGGCCGGTAGAAAACTGGGGGCATCGGGTTTACGGGGCAACGAAAGATCTCCCTCTGCATTGTGGGGGAAATGCGGCCCCTCACTCGGCAGGGCTGCGAGCCCCCCACGACTGCCACCGCTGCACCTCCTCCTCTCCTCCTCCTCGAGCAGTGGAATCTCACGCAGGAAATCAGCGCAAGCAACCGGGCCGTCATCAAATGCCTTCTCCCCTGTGCCTGGAAAACAAATAACTGCTGAGTAGAGCAAGTCTGGACTGTGACCAAGCTTGAACGACCGTGCAAAAGTGTTACATCTACACTCGCTATCTACTAAAATTACCCTTGCAGGACTGTTTAATATCGAGCCTACATTCTCTATTAAATTCCGGTTTACACAAATGATATAAACATATACCATTGGTAGAATTGGCATTGGCACCATTCCTACGGCGCAAGGCTATGACCAATGTGCTGCGTATCACAGACGGGTCTAGTCTGCCAGAAGGGGTTAACGTCGCTATGTGATTTAACCCAATGAAGTAATTTCAACCGTTTGATGGACATTTAATAATTTGGCAACTCTTTTAAGGGCGTGGTTGGCATCGTGTGCCGCCACCTTTGTCTCCCCCAGTGGCAAAGTTTTTCACTCCACACCACATACTAGAGTTAAGGCCGAGCTGACCAAGGCTACATACGCACACTCACCGTGATCAGGGAGCCTGGTGGAGGCGTTGCAGTGAGAATAGCGAGGGTCACATTCGTTGACGTAGTTCTCAGGCAGAAAGTTTTTCCTCAGCCCTGAAAAACACAAACAAGTAATTTAACAACCATGCACGTGTTGATTCTGTCACGCTCCCCAATATGGGTTTGTCCTTCGTAGTCCTTGAAGCTCAGTGCTGGCCAAAGTCAGGCCTACCCTCTCTTTCTCTTGTTTGCCTTGCCCAGGTCCTCAAGCCTCCCTTGGCAAAGGAATCGGGGCAAGACCTGGGTTTTCCCCAAAGCTACTCTGCACCGTCATTTGCGCATGACATCACACTTTGGTTTAAGAGGCCCTTTAAATTAACGGCGAGCCCGGTATTCACACGATCCCGTGAAGACACTGGAAGCTAAGAAAGCTTAAAAGAGCCTGGAAAGTGGTGGGATAGGCGGCCACACTGCACAAAAGATGTTGCGTGTAAGTACGTTTGGAGGGCAGTGCAGTAAAATCAATTGCAGGTGAACGCTGCTCAAGGTGGACACTGGTAGTATTACTTGCCACCCCAGGTGGTACTGACCAACCACCGTGCTTTGGCCCACGAACTAAAGGCTAACCTGTGAGAGTCACGAGCTTCCAGCCCGGGCTGCTAGCCGGCAGGTCGTCCACGGGTTCGTGGGTCGGCGGGAAGCCCATGGCAGCGGAGTATTGCTTGTTGTTGAAATTGCAAGTGATCTGAGAAATCGAGCACGTCCGCACACACATGGGAGACACACGTACACATGAGCGGTGGTTGTTACAAAATAGAGACTCTCTCCTGTTTTTACAAGTAGGCACAATCCAAATATGTCAAATCCACACTGCCAAAATTTAAAGTGCAGCTCTGCAATTACTTTCTCATGCCAATGTTGGAAGGGCCTCCACTAGAGGGAGTTATAGACAGTTCCTCCAGAGGGTATCTTGGTCTACTCTTCCAAGCTGGCCACAGATGCCTTACAAGAGGTGGGAGTACCCACATTTAACACCACCACACACGAACTACTGATCGACTGCGGTGAACCACTTTGCATTGCTGGGTAGACATTTGCTAATTTGGGTGGGGAATTTAAGAAATCTGCACCATTGTTTCAAATGCCACGTAGGGAGATGGAATCCAGCCGTCAAACCTCCAGTTGGCAAGTCCAGTGTGCCAACCCCACTGCAGCATCCCCAACCACATCCATTAATAAGTTGAGATGCATGTTGGACTGGCCACAGAGGCCCAAGCAAGATGGACGCGACTGCAGTGCGCTAACATTAGAAACACGGTGTTGATGGGTCTAAAATGTTCCACCCCTCCCCCCTTCTGGTACCCGACTCATGTGGCCAAGATGCTTGCAGTAATGGAAAAGAATAGTTTGGTAGGTTTCGTATAGCTGCAGGCCCGTACAGTCAGGTCGAAGGCCGAATACTAGAACTTCCCCTGCCTGTCCTATACTCTCACCACACCATCACCACCACTTCCCTCACTAACCACACACTTCCTGCCACCACCTGCCTACCATGTCTCGGTCGATGGTCTTCCTGTAGGCGAGGCCCATGTCCTTCCATTGTTCCTTGGTGGCGGAGTCCTGGGGATCGTTGCATCCATGCAGAACTTCCCGAGCGAGCAGAATCTTCCAGGTGTCCATCAGCTCATTGTCCAGCGATGGATTATAAGGCCTGGGAAGACAAGGTTGGAGTGTACTAATGATTAATAATCGAGCACTCAACGATTTGCCCCAATCAGTCCCACAGCGGCAGTCAGTCACCTCCTTCTCGCTCTTCTATCGCCACGACCATGGTCACTGTTCCCGTGAAATTCACTCAACCAATCCAGAGGACTCGGGTCTACCAGACTGATTGTTTCTTCTCACCGACATTGTGGTCAACCACCACACTGCTGAAACTTCCCTCGCACTGCTTCACTTTGGAATTTCCTCCCATCGTCTCTTTTCCCAAGCGCATACAACTGTGTTATTTTTTTATATTTTCTTTGAACCTATCTACATGACTTTACCGAAAGACCCAAGAATATAACTGCGAACAATTAAAGAAAAAACATTTACTTTCATCCATTGTACTCTCGGCAGTACCGTTTGTTACGAGCTGCCCGGCGTTATGGGCCTTTAGGGCTGTGCTGAGCAAACGTGTGAATAAAATAATCAGATCACCCATCTCTAATACAATTCTAATAGTTACTAACACCATCACCACTGCACCATGCCTAACATCTCCACTACTACCGTCACCACCACCACCAACGCCGCTGTCACCAATGCCGCCACCGCCTTCATCGCCGTCATAACAACCACCATTGCTACCGTCACCACCACCCACAGCTACCGGAAATACCGCCGCCGCCACATTCACCACCAACGTCACCACCACCGCCGCCACCACCACGTACCCGTATACTGCTCGTAGCACACACAGCTCCAACGAGTCCTGTGTGTGTGGCCAGTCGCCACCGAAATCGTAGCATCCATCCCAGCTGATCACACGGCTCTCTTCCAACGCGTTCTGATCCGCTCCCCTTTCGAGGCCGTTGTGGTCAACGAAAGCTTTCTCTGCCAAGCCGAGGACTCCGTCCACATCTATGTTGTCCTTGTTCTGTGGGGGGGCGAGTGGGTAAAGCAAATATCAGGTCAACATCACGGCTTACAGCCCCCCACTAACACGCGGTGCATGCACGGAACTCTTTGGTGAAGGCTCGGAATGGATTCTTCATCTCATTGCGTGATGCAGACAGCACAAGTCTTGATGAACATTGCGTAAAAAGACGTTGATTTAAGCGTAAATAAAGCGGTAAACATGAACGTTTAACACGTAGGCTTTCGTCACCAATCGTGTAAATATAAATGCGTTGTTAAACCCGCCACCACCCGACACAGCCAATGAATTGGCGGGTGGTGGCGGGTTTTAACGATACAAGAAAATCCTCTATGATGAAAGTTAAGGTGTTTTATTACACACGGCCGTTGGCCTCCAAAGAAAATATCTACACCAACCACCTCCCCAACTGCTTTGCATGTGAAGTGGCTACTGGCGGATAAGGGTAACTGCGCTATACGGCAGTACTCACGTTAATCGACCACGAAAAATACGATGGGGACATCTGGAGGAAAGGTCACAGAAGGGGCCCATCGGGAGCCGCAGCGCAGGGACAGGCAGACGTGCCTTCCACTGCCGCGTCCGCGCGGGAACCGGCGGCCGTTCCACCCGCACAAGCGCCGGCCGCTATTTCGCCCGCTGCAGACATGGCGCAGCGGGCGGCTGTCATCTTGTCAAAGGAGCGGGAGCTGTTTCCCACCAAATTCGAGCCGCCATTGGCGGCTTCCGCGGGGGCGCAATTTCAGCGGAGGCGACTGCCTCTCGTCCGCGAGTATGTAGCTGCGGGGGACGACTGGACGGAGTTTCAACGCCGCTTCAAAGCGGCCTGCACTTTGGTCGGGTGGTTGGAAGAGGCTGTGCGGGCTCTGCCGATGGCCCTGGATGACGACTCCTTGGCAGAATTTGAGGCCATCCTGGAGGTGGATCGAGTCTGCCTCGGGTATGCGCTCAAATGGCCGCCATCTTCGACCCACCATCCAACGCCCGCTGAAGGTTTGTGCTGCGGAGGCGGGGGGAGGCCGAGACGCCTCTCGCCTTTCGCAGCGCGCTGCTGGCCTTGGGCCACACAGCTTATCCGCGCATGGAACAGACGGCGCTCGATTCCCTGGCGCTGGAAAGGTTGCTGTCACTGGCTCAGGAGTTAGGGCGTCACTCTCCCCATCACGGAGGAAGGCGACCTGTCGTCCCTGAAGATGGCCCGCTGCATCCAGGCACACGTCAACCTGCAGTGGTGGCCGGGGTGGCTGCTTGCGCGGGGGTGCCGGAGGATCCGGAGGAGCCTGCGCCGCAGGAACCGGAAGGGGTCTGCGCTTCTTTCATCCGGGGCCCATGCGGGAGAGGAGTCAAGGGGCAACAGCCGGAGTGGGAGTGCCGAGAGGGACCCCCTTCCAGCAAGTGCGGCTAGCTGGGCCACATCGTCAGGGAATGCCGCAACAGCGCCGGATCGCCCACCTCGCCTTCGACGTCCTCCGCCCCGCCAACATCCGCTTCCCCGGCCTTGCAGGCAAGTAGCGACGCATATCAGACACTCGGCCACAGATGTCACCTCACACATCTCGGTTGTTGAGCGCGTCCGGTTCGCACTTCGCCATCCCTCATCTTGTCGCGGCATGTGAGCGATGGACTCCGGCGTCGGATGGGTGGCAGCGTTGCGTAAAGCAGTGGAGTGCATTGGTTCACCGTGTCAGGGCGGCTGCGGCGGGGTCATCCGCGGTGGTTGGCTTTATTCAGGGGGAAGAGTGTCCGCATTGGGAACATTGAGTTGACGGGACGGGTGTGGGTTTCCAAGACATTGGCTGTGCCCTGTATTTTGGGTACCGATTTTTTCGGAAGAATGCCCCTTAAGATCCTTGTCAATCAAGGCTGTATTGAATTCATAATAAAGGTTTTTGGGTTAGATCGCGTTTATTTATAAATGTGCCGCAACCCTCCACCACCCGACACGGCCAATCAGCAAAGAAAAGTGTCACGTTGACAAAAGACAAATAATTCACTACTTCAGCCCACCGGTGCGTTGAAGAGCTAATCCACATTTACAGTTTGAGTACGACGTTTCGCTGGTAAATACTTCCAGCATCATCGGGCAATTCGCCATTCTGGCGAATTGCCCGATGATGTCGTACTCAAACTGTAAATGTGGATTAGCTCTTCAACGCACCGGTGGGCTGAAGTAGTGAATTATTTGTCTTTTGTCAACGTGACACTTTTCTTTGCTGATTGGCCGTGTCGGGTGGTGGAGGGTTGCGGCACATTTATAAATAAACGCGATCTAACCCAAAAACCTTTATTATGAATAATATTGGTCGCGAAAGCCTACGTGTTAAACTGTATTGAATTGCCGTCAGGTCATTGGTTGGCCTTTTTTAAGTCTTCGACTCGGTTAGGAAGGGCTATTGCTACAGTCCAGGACATGGCGAGGGAAACTTTTATGGTTCCGCCAGGTGCACAGATGTTGGTGCCCTTACGATTGCGGAAGCATCTGAATTTGACGGATTTCGAAGAAGGGGTCCTTTTAACCCCCTCTAATACAGCGACTCGGGGTCTTGCGTTGGTGGGTGCTCAGACCAGTGAGGGTAGACTAGTAGCCCTTTTTACAAATGCTAAATGTGGGGCTGGGGGCTGCTGTGCTCCAAGCCGGTACAGTTTTGCCCATGCAATGGCCGCGCACTGTGAGAAGGCCTACACGGAGGCTGCAGAGGTCGTTGGCGCGGTGGACGGGGAAGCGAGTCGGACGGGGCTTGGATGGACACTGTGGGGAAAATTTGGATTTGTCTGGGGAACAGCAGGGTGAGCTGCGTACCCTGCTACGGGAATTTGCCGATATTTTTAGCCAGGGTAAATTTGATATTGGCCGCACTTCGCTATTGCAACATCGCATAGATACGGGTCACGCAGCTCCGATAAGGCAAAATTCGTATAGGCTCAGTCCCAGGGAGAAGGACCATGTTCGCCAGGCAGTTGACGAGATGTTGGCTGCGGACATTATTTCTCCCTCTACCAGACTGTGGGGGGCCCCCATTGTTTTGGTAATAAACCGGGATGGGAGTCTGCACTTTTGCGTTGACTTCCGCAAACTAAACAAAATTTCTGTGCCGGACACGTATCCATTCCCTCGGGTGGATGACTCCTTGGATGCCTTGTCGGGTGCGCGGTTTTTTTTGACCCTCGATTTGTTGTCGGGGTTTTGGCAGCTGCCCTTGGATAAATAACCCAGGCCTAAAACCACGTTCCGAACACAAGGGTTGTTCCAATTTAATTGCTTCCCAATGGGGTTGCATCCCGCTCCTGCCACGTTCCAGTGGCTTACAGAATTGATCTTGGCAGGTCTTCAATGGGACTTGTGCCTCATTTACCTGGACGGTGTCATTGTATTCGGGCGCACGTTTCAGGAGCATTTGCAGCGACTGCGGTCCGTGTTTGTCAAAGTGCGGGCGGCCAATCTCAAATTTAAACCGCAAAAGAGCCTTCTCTTGCAAACATCGTTGCGGTATTTGGGCCACATTGTTAGTGAGTCTGGGTTAGCCATGGATCCCAACAAAATGGCGTGCGTGCGCACATGGCCAACCCCTAAGTCGGTGGGTGAAGTTCGCACTTTTGTCGGGTATTATCGCCGGATTGTCCCCAAGTTCGTGACGATCGCAAAACTGCTCCACGCGCTCACTGCTAAGGGCCAGAGATTTCGGTGGGGGGAGGAGGAAGCCGCGTTTGTTGCGGTGCGTTGATGGCCTCGTCAACGCGCCTCCCCTCGGCTACCCTGATTTCTCTCTGCCCTTTGTGTTGGACATGGACGCCAGTGACACTGGAATTGGTGCTGTGCTGTCCCAGGTCGTGAATGGCACAGAAGTGGTGGACTACGGGAGATGTGTGTTGTCCCCCGCAGAGCAGCGCTACTTCGTGACGCGCAGATAAACTGCTGGCCATAGTTCATTTTGCGCAGCAATACAGGCCGTATCTTTACGGACGGGACTTTGTCGTGTGCACGGACCATGCAGCTCTTCATATTCCTTACGTGTTTGACCAGCCTTCAGGCCAACTGTCTCGCTGGTTAGACATTGTGCAGGACTACTCCTTCACAGTCACCCTTACGTCCATGTTGTGCCAACGAGTAAATGAGGCGTAGTCGAATTGGGATTTGCACATTCCCGGTGTCCTGGCCGCATTTCGGATGGCCCCTCACGCCTCAACAAGATTCTCCCCATTTTACCTCATGTATGGGAAGGAGAGTTATCCCCCCATGGAAGCTCAGCTGGGCATGGGATTGGGTAAGAAGAGAGCCGTCATGCCCATGCAGGTCACGCCGAGGCGTTTGACAAAGGGTGCGGGAGGCATCTCAGGGAAATTCGGCCAAACGGCAGGCCGCAAATGAGAAACTTGTGGGACAACGGGAGTCCGGGACCCCATGGATCACTGGGGACAAGGCATGGCTGCATTGTCTCCAGGTGCCCCTGGGTACATCCCCTAAATTACACCGGCCATGGCAGGGCCCTGTTGAGGTCAGTGAGGTGAAGAGGCCGCAGTGCGTGCATATACAGGTCGGTCGCCGTCGCTGGTTTGTGCACCCGTCACGGTTAAAACCCTATGTTCTATCCTATGTAGACAGTTCATCTCCATCTCCAGAGCAGCAGGTGTCTTACGAGCCCGGAGGTTGCGCTTCAGTAGAATTGCGTTGTGCCGCCCGCAGGATCTCAGCACCTGAAGTCCGGAAAACCCCTGACAGCACCTCCGTGTGTTGGACCGTGTGTGCAAGCCCAGTCGCCATCTTCTTCTCGCATGGAGGGGCCGCGCCCTTGAAGCCGTTTGTGCGATGTCCCAGTGGTCCCCAAAATACAGATTCCTGCTCGAGATGGCGGACCGACGTCGAGGACTCGCTCCAAGAGCGCTTCTTTTCTGCTGAACCGCTCCCTTCCCATTGTTCAATTGTGTTCCGATGTCGTCTGGTGGGTGGCCACCGCCATGAGCCGGGCTGTGGCTTCCAGTTGATCTGGGGTTCCTTCCCGATGCTCGTAAGCTGCAGCACGCTGGCGGACGTCGTGAATTGTTATGCTTCCCTCGCGGTTCGGGGTTAATAGTAACGGGTTTTTTTTACTGATGTCCGTTAACCCTCCCTGTTATACTAATTGTAAGCACACATTCTTGCAAGCCCTTTATCCCTCTTATTACGTGATTGGTGTCAGCTGAGACCGCTGTTGGTTTTTTTTTTACTGATGTCCGTTAACCCTCCCTGTTATGCTAATTGTAAGCACACATTCTTGCAAGCCCTTAATCCCTCTTATTACGTGATTGGTGTCAGCTGAGACCGCTGTTTTTTTTTTTTACGGGGGGAGTGACGTAGTGGCATAGCGCTGGCTGCTGGCGGAAAAGGGCAACTGCGGTGTACAGCAGTACTCACGTCAGCAGGCCACGATATATACGAGGGGGACATCTCGGGGAAAGGTCAAAGGGGCCCATCGGGAAGACCCGGGAACCCGCTAGCAGGTTCCAGAAAGGGGGCGTGGCCGGGATGGAGCAAGGCCACGCTGGGAGTATAAGAGGAGCCCCTATGCGGGACCTCGTGGCTGTTGCTGGAAGTGGGATTCCCGACGTGCTGCTCAAGTTCATCGTCGTCACCATCTCGTCGTCGTCACCATCTCCTCGTCATCGTCTCCGTCTTCACCATCAAGGGGGGCTGTTAGTCAGACAGCCTAGCAACTGTTCTAACTAAGTAGTGATGCTGATAATAGACGGTCTTAATAATAGTGTGCACCCACGTAGGGTGTGGGTTATCCTGATGGTGCTTGTTAATAAAAAGAAGTGGCTCCAAGTATTACTGTCTCCGAGTTGAGTCACTACACATGCGACCGGTTCAAGTCATGAACATCCCCTCTAGAGCTGGGAGAATTCGTCCATCGATGATAAATTATAATTGACTATTTTTTTCAGTGGACAATTACTCAGATCCCTTCACTCGAGTCCTGTTCTACTAAGACAATTTAGCATCTCACAGCCCACAAAGATCGGCCATATAGCCTACACACGTTGTAGGAGCAAGTGCTGTTAGGGACCACCTATAAAGGCAGACAACACACAAGGGGTGGCTGGCCAGCACCACGCCTTTGTCTCCCCAGTGGCGACATTTACACGCAATACCAGGTACTCATTTGGGCCAGAGTCGACCTAGTGGAGGTCCAGGACCGGCTCAGATAATCGTTACTGGTGTTATCCTTGAGTGGGTATCGAAACTTGGGTCACCGGGTTCGCAGTGCAGCGTGCTGACTGCTACGCCACCGCTCCCCAACACGACAACCGCCATTCGCCACTAAGTATTCGGTGCAGTCAACACGACACTTGTGCCAGGCTATGTGCACTTTAAGGCAAGTGTCAAACGTCTGCTGGCAGGTCACGGGACAAACCCAGGTGCCATGGGTCGACTGACAGAGATGATTGAGAGGACTGGTCGATGCACCTCCTGTGCCCCCTAGTGTGCAAACTTGCTGTGTTTTAACCACACGGCGCTCCGCTGGTTGTGGAGCGTCGCTCCTCTGCCCTCCGTTGTTTCTGGAGGGCAACTGCCTCGTAACATCCTTCACAAGCACCTCCTGCACAGAGGCTAACCTTGACACCACTGGTACCAGTCATCGGCAAGTCCGCTCAGCTCCATATTCTCTTGTACCACATCACTCCATCTGTTCACGAGCCCCTGCTGTGCCATATCTTTCATGGATTTGTGAGCTCCTCACACAATCCAGCCTGGTTAAACCCAGGATAGATCGTAGGAAGGCCAACTTAAATGTTTCGAACCGGCGAAGGTGTTTCATTAGTGGGGTCCAGGTTTCGCAAGCATAATGGAGGGCATGACCGTGGCTGGGAAGACCCGAAGCTTTGTGTGCAGCGACAGACCAGCTAGCTTCTACACAGCGTTACGCAGCCGATGAAAAGATAATCCCGATCGACTGATTCGGAGTGAGATATCTGTTGTCAAACCGGAGCCAGTCATGAGCATACTGCCCAGGTATGGAAAACTCTCCACTCCCTCCACAACTGCCCCATCACCAAATCGGAGTTATGGGGGGTAGAGTGTTTGATGGCACAAAATACCCAGGCAGGTGCTTAGTTTTGGTGGGGCTGATGGTAAGGCCCCACCTCTTAGTGGCATGCTTTCCAGGTTCAGCAGCAGTGCCTCCAACTCCTCCTGAGTTAGCAGCAATCCCCAACACACCACACTATTACACACACACACTTTGAAACCTCATCACTCATACTTACACTCCATTAGGAGCCGGTCACACACACGGCCTCACCTGCTCCACCATCTTCTTGGCGAGCACCAGCGCCAACAGCTGCTCGATGTCGGTCTGCTTGTATTCGGCCGCGTCCCCTCCCATCCTTGCGCCCTCCTGCTCCGAGCACCGCCGTCTTAACATCTCCCCGCAGTCCCTCTCTCCGGTGGGCGACATCGCTAGCCTGTCGAGATCCTCGCCATCGTCATTGTCCAAACCACCGCCGCCACTGCCGTCGTTCATCTCCCATTTCATCGCCACCTCCCCGAGGTTGTCCCTTGCCTCGATGCCGAACCGGCTCTTCTTTCTGGCGGGGCGTAAGGACGACAGGTCGGGGTCTTCCGCCTCCCACGGGCCTTGCGGTAGCGGGAAAAAAAGATTGCACGTTACTACAGCGGAACAGCGGCGTTTATCATATCCGTAACGATGTGTTGGGGGTGCAGGGTACCGGGGACAGAGGGGTATGCGTTTTTTTTTTGGCAGATAAGCCGATTACATTTTTGGTGGAATCCTCCACTGAAGAATCGTTCGTTTGCGATTCATGCAAATAGAGCAATCCCTCGCCAACCAATCGTGGAATTCATGTATACACGCTTCATTATTTGTACACCAATTTACCGACCGCGGCCTAGGAAAGTGAGTATCCACGGGTACGCACGGGTCCGCAACACGCATTTACAAATTTTGCGGGGCAGCGGTTCTCTGCGCGACCGTCCACACCTGTGCCACTTCGTAGCTTGTCAGTATACCATCTGTTATGTTGCCATTCTCGCAGCGCATAGGCTGCATCGCATGCCCACCTGGATTATAAGACGCAGCCCCCCCCACCCTTACAATTTCTTTGAATTAAAAACTAATCAACCACGGTGTTGAATATTAGGATTAACCATGAGATCACACACTAAATACACATTTTATGTGTTTGTAGTGGTCTGTATGTGTGTTTGTGTGAAAAATGTTCTAACAAAAACCGATGTTTCAAAATGTTTCTTCACCTTTTAGCATTCACTGAGTGTCCAACTTCCTTTGGTGGAGTGATGGAACAGTGATCTGCACACGGCGCTACGCAGCCGACAACCTGCCTTCGTACGTCTTACAATCCAGATAACGATGATGCCGACTGACGAAGATTACATCAATGACTTTCATAAACTATTTAATGACGAGGTAAAGCCCACTGAGCTATTAGCTCTTTTTCAGAAGCGACCTGGACACACATGATAGCTCATCAAAGTGGCTTAATATCATAACACGCAGAAATTTTTATTAGAAGCCAAATAATCTAAATGTGTATATCTAAACTTGGTGGGGTGGGGGGGGAGGGAACTGGAGGACCCGGGGAAAAATCTTCGCGACCAAAATGGGGAGAGAAAGAGAGAGAACAGGCAAGGTAGATAACACGACGCTGCACTCTCTCCATTACCAAGGCGCGTGACACACCCGCCGCTGGCGCCCATCATCTGATCTTCGGTTGGCACGGCAATCATGAAGCTGTCGGGCCTGTCCAGGTAGGTGCGGAGCGCTTTGCCTGGCACTCGGGTTGCCCTCCTCTTGTGCGTCGTCGTTGGCGGCACCTCCTCGGGCTGGTATGACGACGGCAGCGGTGGCCATGCCGGATCGCAACGCAGAAGCCGCTCGAAGCAGTGGCGCAGTCGTGAGCAAGGCATGGGCACCAGTGGCAGCGACTGCTTGCCCTTCCAATGGTGGTGGAAGTGTGCTTCCTCCTGCAGCTGGTGCTGAGCGGTGAGGAGCGACTTGAGTCCAAGCGGGGTCTTGAGTGCGGTTGTGTCCGGTGCGGTTGTGTCCAGTGCGGTTGTGTCCGACGCGGTTGTGTCCGACGCGGTTGTGTCCGGCGCGCCGGTGTCTGTGAACGTAGCAGCACCGACTTGGGGTTAGTCACACCTGTACCTTTAAAATTTAATCGTGGTCACCGCCGTCATCACCCACTGTGCTGTACCGTCTTCTCATGGCGAGCCAGGGAATAGCTCCTTGACGTCCGCGTAAAGGGAGTTTCGCAACATTTACGCGATCCACCAACCCTCGCCTCCACTGTGCCGGATTGCAGGCATGCGCCGTCACCGGCCACCTATGGCATCGGGAGAGATGGTCATGGCTTGGAATGCAGTGGACTGATCATTGCCGATAATGATAATTTGTTGGTCCACCAGTCAACACCACCTGTCCCTGCTGCCCCACCAGCTCACTGAGACCAGTATAAATGAAGATCCCATGTTCACGTTTCTAGTCAACATAGTGTTTGTTTCACGTTGTGTATTCGTGTTGTTTTAGGGTTATGCTTAAACGGCCAATGTTCCGTGCATATTCAACATTTCTCATACACGGTATCCATGCCCCAGCTTGTTTCCAAGACCACTACTCACTGCCAACAACGATTCTTGGCTCCTTGAAGACAAACATGGCCTTCAAGTTACTGCTCTCCACATCGTGAGATTCTGCAACAACACAACGGGGGGGAAAAAAGAGATGATGCATGCACAGGATATAAGCACTCACACCGCAATTTGATGCTGTAATCTAACAGGATATAAGATGCTCTGGAATGTAAGACACTAAAAACTTGTACCCTATGTTAATATGGTTGTACAACCATGGTCACGCACATCAGATTATAAGACGCACCCATAAATGTTGCTTTAAAATACCAGTGGAAAGAGTGTGTGTTATAATTCAGAGAATACGGCAATGTTCGAGTATGTACAGACAGGCCTTGTCAATCCACTGCTGAATGAGGTCTCCCCAAACTGCACAGGTCCATCTGACCGAACCTCCATAATGTTGATCGGTGCAGGTTGGTGCAGTCAAGGGAGCATAAATGCTGGAGCATGGGAGTAAGAGTGCAACAATGAATTTCGCCGTGCTATCCCTTGCTGACCCCATGTGAAGCACATACCTCGCTCACCATGTATGACAAATACGGCATTGTATGGACGTGTGTCCACATCCGTCCATGAAAACATCGAGACTCCGAGATCCGACAAGACCGGGTTGACTGTACAGTGCTACATTGTTGGTTGTGTACCTCAAGATGATAATTAGTATGTAATATTAGATTTATAATTGTTCATCACAAGTGTATTTAAGTTGCTCTCTTATAGTGCAATTATGTTGAGCTCATTAACAGGGCCTTCATTCCTCTCAGCAGAGTTATGGTCTCGGAATGGAGGCTTTCATTCTCACGCCTAGAAATATAAAAAAAAGTGATATCGCATCCGAGACCTTCACAGGACATAGGCCCTTTGTCAGAAATAAGTTCGTTAAAATGTTGGTCCGTGCAAGTAGCAAAGATCATACATGGATATGTAGTGTTTTTATTTCACGCGGACAACTTATTTTTCTCCTGTCACTTTTTTTTTAACAGAACTCCTTGCGTTGGACACCCCGTAACTCCGTCGTGATTATTCCGCTTAGTCTGCTTGACTCCGCTCTAGCTTCTCCGCTGCTAGCCTTCCGCTATATACTCTGCTAGCTTCTCTCCTGCTAGCCTTCCGCTATACACTCTGCTAGCTTCTCTACTACTAGCCTTTCTACCCTCATCTCTCCAACCTCGCCCGTGCCTCCAGTGGGAGTTAAGCCATCACCGCTGGAGGGTGAGGTGTGGAGAGCGGGGCCTTGGACTTCTCTTGTCTTTCCTCTTATCTTCACTCCGACCAACTCAACTCCCTCTCTCCCACGCTCCCGTATATATCCCCCTCCTTATGAACTCATTAAGCTGGCGACCTCCTGTCGCCTCACGCCCGTGGCTTCCGCCGCTATCACCTCAATCCCCCGTCAACCTGGTGCCTGTTCTGCGCCTGCATTTGCAGCCAGCCAATCACTGCTATGCATCTTAATTAGCCATCTCCTTTCCGTTGCTCTCTCTCGCCACACCTGTTCGCCCCGTTTCGACCTCACTGTCCGTAACGTGAACATGCGTGCACACCACTTGCAAACCCCCGCACGCGCGTTACTCTACTACAGATATAACATCTGGCCTCTCAGTCTAAAGACTTAGGTTCTACATCGTCCCGTGGTCTGGTTGCATTAACGGTAATCAATACTGAAGAGAAGGGGCGTGATTTAAAGATTGGAAATTGCCATTTAATATTGAATTCAATGTTCTCAAGTCAGTCTATGCGAAGGACATGGCTCCCATGGGCTACCTCACCAAGAGGGCCGACTGGCAAAACGATAACTTCTGATATATTGGTAGAATTGTTTCTTGATATATTGTTCAGCCTGTTGCGAGGTGCACAAACTTTGTTTTTCCAGACTGGTAGAGGACCGTCTGGTGTTTCGGATATTTTCCGTATTCTGTTATGATCTCGGAGAGTAAAAATTTCGCTCTAACGCCAGTGCTTTCCCATATTTTTAAGGCTGAGGCTATGGCATAGAGTTTGCATATTTTTCTGTACTTGCTAATGTAGGTTGGTTTTGATACATCTGTTAAGGGGTGCAAACACATATACGTGGGCACATATTGTTTACATATTGCATGAGTGCAAAATATTAGTCTTTGATTTGTGAATCCGATAAAAGGCATACCGAGTCTGATTAATCACCTGAAAGGTGAAAGGTCTGAGAGTTGTGCAGAAACCTTCGTGCCTGACACCGGAGACAATACGGGGGACTCTGCCGGCTGGAGTGATGGGCATCTGCCGTGCGCCAGAGCGGGCATGATCAGCGGTCAACTGCGAGCCTCATCCGCGATTGGGGCTCCAGTGCAGAATATACTGAAGACACACCAAAGAAGTGAACTGCACCCTCGCTGGCAGCCTAGGGACAGTGCATGCAGAGGCGTAACCAGATGCAGACTGAGTGATTGCAAGCCAAGAATGGCGAGAGACTGCTGCCTTAACGTCACCTGTGCAGAGGAGATATTGGTGCTCACTCAGAGAGGGAGCATCTAGCAGGTTGCCTTGTAAAAGATGTTTTCTAATTCGTCGTCGGCATCGCAGCCTCGGGAGACCATAGATTTCTTATGCCTTGGGGGTTAGGTCTTAGCACAGCGTCTGCTGTGGCTGTGAAGTCCAATCCGTGAGAGGCAGACTCGGCCACAGTTGTAGGCCAGGGGGGGAGTACACTTTCGAGGGCTCATACATTAGCTGATCATACACCTAGACATTCTTATTTTTCTTCGTCATATGTTGGTTCGTACAGTTTCGTCGGTTGGTCACGTATTTTTCATGTATACTGTAAACGAATAATTATGCAAAGTTTATGTTATTTTGACACTAGTTGATGCTTTGATCTATTAAATACTCAGATGTGTGGTGTACCGAGTGCCTGAGTGGTTTATTTCCGTTTCATGGGTCTTTTTGCTTTTAAAAACTTGTACTGCTGGACAGATCTATGGACCTGGTGACCACTGTGGAGGTCTTATAACTGATGTAAGAAAACCCCTAGACACGAGCTTAAATGATTAACGACACATTATTATATTTACACGATCTAACCCAAAAAACCTTTATTATGGACGAGCTCATATTGTAAGACCCTCCACATACAACAGTATTCACATGCACTCACTCTCATTCACTATCACTCCGGGTGGGAACACCAAGAGAAAGCCTCCGTCTTCCAGAAACTTGACCAGCATCTTCAGAAAGAATAAAAACAAGAGTACAGTGAGACCGAATATGAGCAGAATTTGGTTGTTTCTCCGCACACAAATAACAATGTTAAAATCTGCCAGCCAAATGGTTTTCCAGATCAATAATAAGAATGTATACAGCACTGTAACATGGCAAGCCATTACAAGTAGCGTGACAATATTATCACGCGGCATTTCTTTAAAGCAATCACTGGTTTCAAATTCCTGCATCTCACCAGCAAAGTCTTGTTATACAATTTCTGCTAGGTGTTATTGACAAGAGCACTCGATATAAAGTATGGGAGCGCACGGTCAATGCAAAAAAGCAATGCCCTGATGCAAACTTATTATTAATTGGGGATAAGAATATGCACGCAGAAATCCACACATGGGACGGTGTGTTGTCTTGGTGTGGTCTGGCACTGTTGTTTTGCTGCCTTGCCAAAGCTTGCATTTTATGTTGACAAATCGGTAGGAATTCACTTGTGTAATTTGTGCTTCTATACTTAAAATTTATTTTTAGCGACTTCCTGACCTATTCTCAATATTGCTCTTACAGGCAGTCCCCAGGTTACAGAAAGGTGAGGTTCCCGAGGATTTCCGTAACCCGAATTTTCCATGTCAGAAAGTGAAAAGTGATCTCCCAAAATCAAGATAAAATCCCATATTCTGAAATAGTTGTGCCTCCCCTACCGTTTTCTCTCAGTACTGTATCGCGCTGTCGTTCGTTTTTTATTGCTACCTGCATCTTCCTGATTCTTTAATTTGACCCAATATCTACCCTAACACTACCCATTATTTATTGAACAAATGGAACATATGCTGTATCCAATTGTTCATTTTAATATTAAGTGTTAAAAGAAAGCAGTCACTTCCCAAAGTTTACCGTGCATTCGACAAGGCCTAGATGTCACATACATACACACATACACACAAAGACAAAGGTGGAGTAGGCTCGTCGATATGCACACATACATAACAACCGTCATTCGCCACCAAGTGGCGGTGACGTCACCACGACGCTTGTGCCAGGCCATGTGCACCTTGAGTCCACATGAAGTGTCGAACGCCCGCTGGCAGGAGGTCACGGGGCAGACCCAAGTGCCACGGGTCGACTAAGATGACTGGCTGATGCACCACTTGTGCCCCCTACTGTCCCAACTTGCTGTGCTTTAGCCACCTGGCGCTCCGCTCGTTGTTGTGAGCGTCACTCCTCCACCCTCCGTTGTTGTTGGAGGGCGACTGCCTCCAACTGCCCAGTAGCGTCCTTCACGAGCCTCCTCCACAGAGGCCGATCTTGACACCGCTGGTACCAGTCACTGGCAAGTCCACTCAGCTCCACGTCCTCCTGTACCACATCACTCCATCTCTTCTTGATGCCCATGCCACGCCCGTTAAGCCCCCTCGATCCGGCCGAACAAAAGCTGTTTAGGCATGCGGTGGCTGGGCATGCGGGCTACATGACCCAGCCAATGCAGCCTTGCCTGCCGGAGGAGCTCACCTATGGGACTTTGTCCACATGTTTTAAGGATTTGTGAGCTCCTCACACAATCCAGCCTGGTTAAACCCAGGATGGATCGTAGGCAGGCCAGCCTAAATGTTCCCAATCTGCGAAGATGTTCCATTAGGGGGGTCCACGTTTTGCAAGCGTAGAGAAGGGATGGAATGACCGTGGCCGAGAAGACTTGAAGCTTCGTGCGGAGCGACAGACCAGGTAGCTTCCACACAGCGTTACGCAACCAATGAAAAGATAATGCCACTCGATGATTCTGAGTGAGACCTCTGCTGTTAAACCGGAGCCAGTCATGAGTACACTGCCAAGGTATGGGAAACTCTCACTCTCTCCACAACTGCCCTATCACCAATTGGGAGTTGTGGGGGTGGAGTGTCCGATGGTACAAAATACCCAGGCAGGTGCTTAGTTTTGGTGGGGCTGATGGTAAGGCCCCACCTTTAAGTGGCACGCTCCAGGTTCAGCAGCAGCACCTCCAACTCCTCCTCTGATTGAGCAGCAATTACCAGGTCATCGGCATACATAACATGGTTGACCAATAGGGAGCCATCCCTTGACCGCACCCGGGCATCAATCAGCCTCGCATTGTATCTGTACCAAATGAAAATTCCTCCGGTACAAATTCCTCCGGTACAGCTATTGAAGGCTTCACGAACTACGTGGTCAAAATAGATGTTAACTAATGTGGGAGCCAGAAGACATGCCTGTCACACCTCAAGGTGAACAGGGAATGGCTCCGACTCCTGGCCACGTAGTTTTACCCAGGCCTGCTCACCATCATAAAGGTCTTTAATGATTGTGAGCAAAGAGTCAGGGACTCCGAAAGCACCAAGAACAACCCAGAGCCCAGGCCTACTGATGGTATCATAGGCCTTTACCAGGTCAATAAAGAGATGTAGGTCTTATTGGAATTCCAGACACCTCTGCTGTAGCAGACGGACAAAAAATATTGCATCTGTGCAGGACCGCCCTTTCCTGAAACCACATTGGGGCTCAACAAGCCTTTTCCTGAGCGTGTCTGGCAAGGTGATGTTGAATAATCCTTGCCAGGACCTTTCCTGTCACACTGAGGAGGGGAAGCCTCCATAGTTGTTACAGTCTGGTCTGTGCGGTCCCCCTTCCATAAACAGGGGGACTTATCAGGGCATCCTTCCAATCCTGCGGAACCCATCCAGTAGTCCAGACTATTATTATGTCATGTAGGGCAGTCTATGCACAAATGCCACGCTCCCTTAGCATTTCGCTTGGGAGATCATCTCTGCCCGGTGCTTTTCCTGGTCTCAAGACTTTGGATCCCCTTCTATACTTCCTCAACAGAGGGCACCTCAGCCAGCCACTCGCAAGGGATGACTACTTCCAATATTTGAGGCACTGCAGCCTCAGCAGGGTCATCCCCACTTTGCCCCATGATGTTTTCCAGGCTGAGGGATTTCCCCTCCCCCAAGATCTCACAGAAATGCTCAGCTAATCTGCAAATCTCTTCCTATACATACACAGTTACACATACACACAATACATACTGTAAAAAAACACACTACCTAACGCTACAAACAATTCTATTTTTCTTAATGCTCAAAGCTCGGGCTCGGTGAAGGCGGCATAAGGTGGGGCTTACGCCTCGTGTAAGGTGGCTGCCCGCCCTAACGCTCGCTCCACGGTATTCATCCGCAACCTCACCACTCTGCACTATTTGTGCTGACGTAACTAAAGCAAACATTTCCGCATAAAGATAATTTTTACATGATTTATGGGAGCATTTCCGTAAAGACGGATTTCCGTAAGTCGGGTCTTTCATAACCCGGGGACTGCCTGTATATAATTTTTTGTATTATTCGTTAATGTAACTCACCGACATCTGTGAAAATGAACTTCAAAGCTCATCGGATTTCTCCAAGATAAATTATTTTGAGTCTGACATATAAACAGCATTCAGTCCAAATTTTGATTTAAAGCTTTCGTGACTGCAGGGATTCATATTCTTGGTTCTTTCGGTAAAGTCACGTAGAAGGGAAACAATTAAATAATAAAAATATAAAACAATACAATTCTCACGACGTTTCGACTGCAACACAAGCAATCATCATCAGGTGTGAAAAGCAAAAGAAAATTTGAAAAAAAACGCCATTTTTTTCAAATTTTCTTATTGTGGTTTTCACACCTGATGATGATTGCTTGTGTTGCAGTCGAAACGTCGTGAGAATTTTATTGTTTTATATTTTTATTATTTTGTTTCCCTTCTACGTGACTTTACCGAAAGAACCAAGAATATAGCATTCAGTCCATTCGCCTGTTGGCTTTTCAGACCAACGTTACAACTGAGTGCACAAGTTATATATCTCAGACAATGGTAGCAACGTGATCGATGATGCCGATGTCCCCGAACCCCGCCGCCCATCGCTTCCCGTCTAGCAGCACACATGGGAACACCTGATGACGGACGCTTGTGTTGCACCCGAAACGTCGAGATTTATTTTATACCTACGTAACTTTACCTAAAGAACTAAAGAGTATGGGAACAAAGATGATTTTTTTTCTACACACCTATTGTCAGTCGTGCCACCCGCTAAATCAAGTAATTATAACCGACAATCGGTGGAGTTAACCGATTTCTAAAATAACTCGACAGCCCAGCTCCACTGAAACCTCACCGTCTCTTCCCTCTTCAGCTTCGCCTGCAGGGCTTCGAGCCGCGGCTGCGAGGTGTACTCGTAGGCGCTGGACATCTCAAACAGGCAGCAGTACCACTTGTACACGTTCACTGCACGTGGCACACACAAAAGGCACCATGTTAAGTTGCTTCATAGTCCGGGGAAATACCGCAACCACCGCCACCACCATCCCTATAGCCATCACCACATCCCTACCACCACTATCACTGTCCGCACAACCACCGGCATTATTGGTGCCACCGTCACCTCCACCACCACCGCCACCACCCCGACCGCCACTACCATCCCTATTGTCAAGATAATTCTTACCGCCACCACTGCCACCATCACCAAGCACCGGCACTACTGCTGCCAACCATCGCCTCCACTGCTGCCACCGCCACCTTCACCCACGCCACCACCATCCCTACCGCCACCACCATGCCTACAGTCACCACCGCGACCGTCACCACAACCAAAGGCACTAATTCTGCCACCGTCGCCTCCACTACAACTGCCGTTGTCCACAGCCACTGCAACTGTAATGCAGTTCGTTAATCAATCTCAGCGAGTAACATCCTGCTCTTTAATCATAGGATTACGACGTCACTCAGTTACCAAGCAACAGTTTAACAAATGCTGAGAAAACGCTATAAAAAACAGTTTTGAACATATATGTATATATTTTGGGAAGAACAATACAGTGCATTACGCGATGCACCTGAGCATGGCTAAAACTAGTGGCGAGTGCCATCTAAACAGGCCTTGACCAACCCCCTTCATCACCCAGCACTGTCCCATGTAGTGAAGTATAGTCAAATAACCCCAATAGCTTACCGGCTCAAAGAAGCCTGCATCCAACAGTGGGTTGACAAAGGACTGCACATTGCAATAAGGTGGGGACCATGAAGTGACAAATTATGAGTGCACTCAAATAAAAAAAAGCATTGCCAGGTCAAAAATGTCCCTCTCTAGTACTCGACTAGCATGGCTTTGAAGCTCATCTGGCCACTGCGGGCCATATGAAGTCGCGGGGCTGTATTTGGGAGATTAGCCTCAAACTTCACCAAACTCACCACATACACTCAAGCACTCCATCGCCACAACTATGTGTAGCCACGTGTGTGGTACGAAATAAAGTTGCGGGAGGGCCGTATTCATCCCGTGAGCCTTAGGTTGAACTACTCCCGTCGTACAGCTTCACAATACTCGCTACACCCTCCATCATGTGCCCACTCCGGGTCGCATTAAAAGAAGATGCGGGCTGCGTCTGGTCCGTGGGCGCGAGTGGTTTGTTTCATGCAATGGGGCACGCACACGCGCGTGCAGCAATTACCTTCCTTGCTGTTGGCGTAGAGGTATTTCATGAAGACACGACGGGGCAGCATTTTCATCACGTGCTCATTCCTCACCGTGTTGTCCACCTCAATCTTCCCCGGGCTGCAAAATGGGCACAAAATACGTTTTTTTTCAGAATCCTAAGTTAATTTCCTACCGAGTAAAGCCCACTGAGCCAAGAAGCTCTTTCTCAAGGGCAACTCGACCGGCATACAAACCATTCCACAATTACAGATTTTAAAAACAAACTTAATTTTAGCAAACATGGTGGCAAGATGTTGACTACCTCACCTGGTATATAGGAGGTCATGGGTTTGATCCTAACCCTGACCAGTGCAGGTGTGTCGGGGTCTCGTCCATGTTGGACCAAATTTTCAATTATTTCAATGGTATCAGGTACTGGGACCTTGGTGAAGAAAGAGACCACATCGAAGCTGACAAGGATATCGTCAGGGGACAGTACAACGTCTTTGACCATAGAGACCAATTGGGCTGAGTTAAGTACGTTAGGCACTGCCTCAACAATACCTACTTTACTTGGAATGGCTCCTTCTACAAACAAAATGAGGGTACCCCTATGGGATCCCCCTTGTCACCGGTGATAGCCAATATTTTCATGGAGAAATTTGAATCAGACGCCATCCAGACTTCCACCCTCAGACCTTCCCTGTGGAAGAGATATGTGGATGACACTTTCGTCATTTGGCCACATGGCCTCCCAGCTCTGAACATTTTCCTACACCACATCAATTCCAGACATCCCGCCATCAGGTTCACCATGGAAGTGGAGAAAGATGGCAAGCTACCATTCTTGGATGTTCTGTTTGAGAGGAGACCTGATGGCTCATTGGGGCATTCTGTCTACAGGAAACCCACCCACACAGATTCCTACTTGAAACCTGATTCCCACCACCACCCAGCCCAAAAGAATTCTCTCATCAAAACTTTATACCATAGGGCTCATTGCATTTCGGACCAACACCACCTGACCAGTGAATTAAAACATGTACACCTGGCCCTCAAAAGGAATGGTTACTCTGACCGCACCATTCGCCAAGCTGTTTCTCCCTCCATAAAGAAACAACCACTTGATACTCCGGTCAAAACCATCACACTACCATATATAGCAGGCGTTACTAAAAAGATTTCCAAAATTCGAAACAAACACAAAATCCAGGTCCGGTTCAATACAGTACACAAAATTCGTGATCTGATCCCATCCATGAAGGATGTCATTCCTGACTTACAGTACCCCGGGGTTTACAAATTGAGCTGTACCTGCGGTGATTGCTATATCGGGGAGACAAAGCGACATGTCTCTAACCGAATTCACGAGCACAAATAAGATTTGAAACACGGCAAAACGATTTCTTCTGCCGTGGCTGATCACTGTTACAACGCTGTGGGTGATCACGATATAATTTTCTCCGATACCAAGGTTCTTTGCAAACCCACTGGTTTTTATCAGAGATTTGTGCACAAGGCAATTCAGATCTACAAACACAGACACAATTTCAACCGAGAAGATGGTTTCAAATTAAGCAACCATTGGAAAGACATTCTAAATCGAACTAAACATTAAACTCATTTCAATGGTACAGTATATTTTTCAAGTAGTGGTACCCCAAACTTTCGCAGCTCTTATAAATTCCCTTTTCACACCATCAATAGGTAAACTCCCCCTCCCCCCCCCCCCGCGCCAAACGGCAAGTCCACCGGCACGTACACCACCTCTTTTCTAAAGTTGGCCAATCAAATGCTAATTTTTATGCTAATTCCTTTGTCAAGGCACCTTGTTTGCTCGCACACAGCTTAAAGGTCCGCGGTCTGAGCGTGGCTGTGTTTCACTCCAGCGCTGTCCTCGAGACAGCCTGATCCCTTCACCTGATGAAGGCCGCTTGTGTTGTGGCCGAAACGTCGTGATTTTGTGTTGTTTTATTTTTTACCTACGTGACTTTACCGAATAGAACCAAAGAGTATGGATCCTTGCAGTCACGAAAGCTTTAAATCTAGAAAGGTGACAACAGTTGGTGCGATTATTCGCAAATGGAAGAAACATAAAAGAACTGTCAATCTCCCTAGGCTTGGGGCTTCCATGCAAGATCTCACCTCGTGGAGTTGCAATGATCATGAGAACGGTGAGGAATCAGCCCAGAACTACACAGGAGGATCTTGTCAATGATCTCAAGGCAGCTGGGACCATAATCACCAAGAAAACAATTGGTAACACACTACGCCGTGAAGGACTGAAATCCTGCAGCGCCAGCAGGTCCCCCTGCTCAAGAAAGCACATATACATGCCCGTCTGAAGTTTGCCAATGAACATCTGAATGATTCAGAGGACAACTGGGTGAAAGTGTTGTGGTCAGATGAGACCAAAATGGAGCTCTTTGGTATCAACTCAACTCGCCGTGTTTGGAGGAGGAGGAATGCTACCTATGACCCCAAGAACACCATCCCCACCGTCAAACATGGAGGTGGAAACATTATGCTTTGGGGGTGTTTTTCTGCTAAGGGGACAGGACAACTTCACCGCATCAAAGGGACGATGGACAGGGCCATGTACCGTCAAATCTTGGGTGAGAACCTCCTTCCCTCAGCCAGGGCATTGAAAATGGGTCGTGGATGGGTATTCCAGCATGACAATGACCCAAAACACACGGCCAAGGCAACAAATGAGTGGCTCAAGAAGAAGCACATTAAGGTCCTGGAGTGGCCTAGCCAGTCTCCAGACCTTAATCCCATAGAAAATCTGTGGAGGGAGCTGAAGGTTCGAGTTGCCAAACGTCAGCCTCGAAACCTTAATGACTTGGAGAAGATCTGCAAAGAGGAGTGGGACAAAATCCCTCCTGAGATGTGTGCAAACCTGGTGGCCAACTACAAGAAACGTCTGACCTCTGTGATTGCCAACAAGGGTTTTGCCACCAAGTACTAAGTCATGTTTTGCAGAGGGGTCAAATACTTATTTCCCTCAGTAAAATGCAAATCAATTCATAACATTTTTGACATGCGTTTTTCCTGATTTTGTTGTTATTATTCTGTCTCTCACTGTTCAAATAAACCTACCATTAAAATTACAGACTGATCATTTCTTTTTCAGTGGGCAAACGAACAAAATCAGCAGGGGATCAAATACTTTTTTCCCTACTGTACTACTGCCAGGGCAGCAGTTACTACTGTAAGAACAGTGCGGAGAGAGAGAGAGTGCGGGTGCAGGGACAGTGCATGGCCAAGTGGTCACGAGGGATAATTACAGGAGGGGACCATCGGGGACGTTCGGAATTGGCCGGGGGCGGATCGAGGCCACGGTCGGGGAATATAAGGCGGCGGGGCGAGGGAGCTCGGGGCTGCCGTGGGATTGGGGTGGACTGTCTCCATGCAGTCATTGTCTTCGGGCCATCGCTGTCTCCGCGTCGACGCTACTTGTGTGCTGTCCTAGCCCAAGTGCGTTATCCTAGCCAAAGTGTGTTATTCTAGCTCAAGTATCTTTAGTTATCCTAGCCCAAGTATATGTAGGATACGAGACCAAGTTATCTACGCGACGCGCCTTAATAAATAATGAAGACGATAGAAGTTGTCTGAGAGTCATTACACTACTGTAGTGGGTTATATTCAGACAAATGCCAGGACTTGGAGGCAACATGTTTCTTCTTGAACACAACCTTCACTGGATAACTACTAAGGGTGTTGACCCCTGTTATCCCCTCATCGAGTTCACCCGGAGTGCCATGTCCTCACATGGCCTTTCCCCACCGGCGCTTGGACCATGCCCCCTAGGGGCCCAACCCCTCACATATGCACACCGGTGATGAGGAGAGTCCCGCACCTGCAGTTCCTCTGTTCCGCCGGTACAACGCTATATACACACGTTGTACACCACTACACTACTATAGTCAGTAGATAATACTAGTCAGTAGATACCACTACAGTCATTATATACTGCTATAGAGTCAGCAGACACTACTACAAAGTTAGCAGTTACGACTGTAGTGTCGGGTAGAATCACTCAGTCGGACACGTTGTTCCAAGTCACCTGCTTACACTTTATTACTCTCTCTCGCACCAGTTGTAGGCACTCCCATCTGTCTATACGGTCCATTTGTTAACCAAATTCCCCTATCTTCTTTACACCTCGCTGACCTGCCTGCGGCAGCTCTTCCTCTCAGCAGCTCCGCACTCACAGCTCCGCACAGACAGCAGCTCACACAGAGCTTGCGCACAGCTGCTCTCCCTCTGCGCCGCTGCCCTCGCCAACATTCCCTCAGACCCACTCACAAGTCCGATCCGGGCGGGGGGATCAACCATCACCCGCCCGTCGACTCGTGAAGGTTAGAGGTCCGTCCCTGGCTTGAGCGGCAGCGGCGAAATGTCTTCACCTTGGTCCCGGAACCCGAACTCCCACTCCGCTCTCACACACCCCCCTATATCCTTCCTCCCAATTATCCTGCTCCTCCCTTGTCTCTTTAGGGCCCGACAGGCTGGCGCCTGTCACTCCTTAGCGCACGTCTCCAAGGCGATACCTCCGGTGCAAGTGTACGACCCCGGACTGACCCCATCTGCAACCGAATCTCCCGTTCAAGGGGTGGTAGTTTGCACGTGCAACCTTACGTTGCACACGCGCACCTGCCTGCCCTCGATTGCCCTCAGGCAGCAGTGCGCACCGCGTATTTCATCACACTACACTATAGTCAGTGGATACTAATATATGGTCAATAGATACGACTAGATTCAGTAGAAACTACTGTATAGTCAGTAGATACTACAGTAGAGTCGCTAGATACTACTGTAGTGTAATAACACGGGCTGGTGACGAGAAAGGTACTAACAACAGGGGGCAGTACACGTCAGCAGGAGGAGATCAAAAGAGAAGCCCAGGACAGGGGTCCATCTGGAAGCCCTGAACCCGCTAGTAGGTTCTTGAAGGGGGGGTGGCTAGGGCGGGGCGAGGCCATGCCAGGAGGAAAAGAGGGGCCCCGGCACGGGGGCTCGGGGCTGTTGCTGGGAATGGACCCCCCTCGCCGTGTCACTGTTCGTCGCCTTCGTCGCCGCCGTCTCGACAACCTGTAGACGCCCCGAGCGAGCCAGCCTGTCAACTGTATTAGCTAGGTAGTGCCGTCAAGAGACGGACGTGTGACTGGCGTGTAAGCACGTAGGGCATCTGTAGTTCCCTGACATGTAGGAATAAAGGAGGTGTCTTAAGAACCCCATCTCGGAATGAGTCACTGCATTACCATAGAATCACTAGATGCTACTTTACAGTTAGTAGATACTACTATACAGTCAGTAGATACTACTGTAGTCAGTAGATACTACTGTCAGTAGATACTACTATAGAGTAAATTGATACTATAGATTCAGTAGATACTATAGTCATTAGATACTAATGTAGTGAGTTCTAGCGACGTCGGAGACTGATCTTGGAGGCAACACTTTTATTCACAATACTCAGCAATACAGCCCAGACTTACTCAGGGCAACGGCCCTTCTAACCATTGCCTGGGGAGGTACTGCCTCCGGGCTAACGTGCCCTATCATGGGACCACAACTCTGGGTCCTCCGGCTACGGGTGCCTAGGGGAGGCTACTCTAACCCGACCTAGCCAGGGTGCAGGTTCCGATCACTGGCCCACTTGGACCCGGCCATTACAAGGATGTCGGGCCGGGGGTTCCCAGGGTGTCACCACTGAGCCACACAGAGTTCCAGCCCTTACAAGGGCAGCGGGGCTAGGGGTCTCAGTGTCCTATCTAGCTTCCCGGGGTCCGACTTTTATACCCAGCACCCGTGCGTCAGCCCTGGCTCCGCCTACCTTCCAGAGAGTTCCAGAGGGGGCTCTGGGGGATCCCAGGACGCCCTGTAGCCCCCTCCTATTGGGAGGGGTCCCGGGAGATCCTGGAACCCCCCGCAGCCCCCACCTGCTTTTGGGCAAAGGATATAACGACTGCCCCTGCTGGACCATGACTGCCCCTGCAGGTAAGTGTACACAGCCCATGGACATCGCTACACTACTACAGTCAGTAGATACTACTATACAGTCAGTAGATACTACTGTACAGTCAGTAGATACTACTATAGTGGCATTGCACTGGCTGCTGGAAAAAAGGGGATCTGCAGCGTACGGCAGTCCTGACATCAACAGGCCAGGATATACACGAGAGGGGGATCTATGGAAAAGGTCACAGAACGGGCACACCAGGAACCCGCCAGTAGATTCCAGAAAAGGGGCATGGCCGGGGGCGGAGTGAGGCCACGCTGACAGTATAAGAGGGGCCCCTGTGGAGTGGAATCCCCATCATCGCCATTCTTCTCGTCGTCATCTCCGTCTCTACCATCTCGGGGCGCCGCTAGTCAGACAGCCCACCAACTGTCCTGGCTGAGTAGCATCGCCGATAATAGACGGACTAAATATTAAGTGTATTAATCCCGATGGTGCTCGTTAATGAAGAAGCGCCTCCAAGTCTTATCGTCTCCGAGTTAGTCACTACACTACTATAGTCAGTATATACTACTATAGAGTCTGTAGATACTACTACAGTCAGTATATATTGCTGCAGAGTCAGTAGTTACGACTATAGAGTCAGCAGATACTGTTTTAGTCAGCATATACTACTACAACGATACCCTGACTTTCGTCCACTTGACTTTCGACACTTCGCTCTTTCGATCGTTTTCAATTATAACCACATTTCAAATTTCGTCCACGTGGTTTCCTCTTTCGTCAGATTTCATCCAACCTTCCAAGACGTTCGCGCCACATGCTCTCTCCTCCAACGGTGGTACCAGCGGTGGTACAGGATCTCTTAGACCTCTCATTGACATGTTAATTCCTCTAACCCCCCCCTCCCTCTCTGTTCCCCCTCTCTATTTAAGGCCTCGATACAGAGGCGTTATTTCCTGTGTGCCAATGCTTGTGTCTCTCTTTCTGTGTCTCTGTGTTAACTCTTTCTGCTTACGTGTCTGTATATATGTGTCTCCGGTTCTGTGTTTTATCTCTCTCTTAATTCTAGCATTCTTTAGAAGAACGTAATCAACCAGGTAAAGTGTTGACTGTTATGTTAGCCGACTATCTGCGCTGTATTACATTATATTTCTAAGTTTACTAGGTTTTATGCTTTCATTTGTACCTGATGATTGTTTGCTTTGCAATCGAAACGTCGTATATTATGCAATTTATTATTTTCTATTTCTACGTGACTTTACCGAAAGAACCAAAGAATAATCCCTGCAGTCACGAAAGTGCAAAATAAAGTTTGAACCACTTCTACGGGGAGGTTTTAAGTTTGCTTCCTCCACTCTCTCTGCTTGTGTGTCTGTCTTTGTATCTCCGTGTCTGTATCTTGTCTCTCTCAAATTCCACACTTAACTTCTAATTTAAGCAATCTTTGGAATAACGTAATCAACCAGACCATGTGTTAATTGTGTGTTGACCGACTGTGTGTTGCATTACATTACATTTCCAAATTTTACTAAGTTTGTTCGATTTAGTGTCACCGTTTTCTTCTTCTTTTTTCTCTCTGTCTCCCCTCGGTCGTTGCTCTCTCCTCCAACGGTGGTACCAGCGGTGGTACAGGATCTCTTGGACCTCTCATTGACATGTTAATTCCTCTAACCCCCCCCTCCCTCTCTGTCCCCCCTCTCTAACTATTTAAGGCCTCGATACAGAGGCATTATTTCCTGTGTGCCCATGCTTGTGTCTCTCTTTCTGTGTCTGTGTTAACTCTTTCTGCTTATGTGTCTGTATATATGTCTCCGGTTCTGTGTTTTATCTCTCTCTTAATTCTAGCATTCTTTAGAAGAACGTAATCAACCAGGTAAGGTGTTGACTGTTATGTTAGCCGACTGTCTGCGCTGTATTACATTATATTTCTAAGTTTACTAGGCTTTATGCTTTCATTTGTACCTGATGATGATTGCTTGCTTTGCAATCGGAACATCGTATGATATTATGCAATTTATGATTTTCTATTTCAACGTGACTTTACCGAAAGAACCAAAGAATAATCCCTGCAGTCACGAAAGCGCCAAATCAAGTTTGACATCGAAGAGCGCCAAGTAGATCCAATAATCCATTGTGGCACTGCCACCTATTCGCCAGCGTTGGAGGTGAAAGGCACTCACAGTGCGATGGGCAGCACGGAGAGCTGCATCGACTTGAGGGTGACTTGTCCGAGGTTCTGTCCCTTGTTCATCAGCTGGCCTTCCCACACAATGTAATGTCGTTTCGGTGTGACCTTAGCTGCGAAACAAGCAAAAATAAATTAACAGGCGGCTAAAACCAGTCTTTTAAGACAGCCTTCCCCCCAGCCCCAACCCCCCTAGGAAGTGGCCAGGTAGTTCAGAAGTTAAAGAGCTGAGCTGGCATGCTTGAAGCTCCTGGGTTCGAATCCATGTTTCAGCCCGGTTACCAAACAGTACACATATAACTCCCATCACATTAAATGTAGATTTGCATTTAATGTGGTTCAATTCCAGACTCTTGACATAACTAAAACTTGTCTGTCATGAGACAGATTACTCTCTGTAGAAAAGAGAATGGGAAGGTGGTGTGCCCTCCTGGGTGGATCAAAGGTCACCCTGAAGGAATCTCAGAAGTAGTTCTTGGACATCCACTTCTCAATAGCGGAAGGCTACACTGCCCTGCGAGAAACCCGCATGGTTTTGTCTCAGGTCATGATGCCAATGGCACAATTGGGATAAAATTGGCAAAAATATAAATGTAATTAAAAAAGGCAAATGCATTAAGGAACTTGCCCGTGGAAACCCTGAAAATGCGCACCGAAGTAGATGGGCATGTAATTGCAATAATTAGCCGCTGTCGGCTACCACAAAACATGTAACCATCGCGAAAGCATGTGTAACAGCAGCAGTAAAACCAAATCAATCACACCAGTTTTTTTTACAAACAAGCACCGATAAATAATGAGCAAGAAAATATATGATTTTAATCACTGTGGGAGGCTGTGGTGGGCGCCACAAAATAATGAATTAAGCTAAAAGTTATCACCTAACAATACATTACTTTCTTTAACCAGGAAAGCCTTGCCATGTACAGGCACTTGATTCACATGGGGTATTTGCTTGGGATGTTTAGCCCAAGATTTCCACCTCGTTATTAAACAATACACGAGTTAATATAAATGAAGAGCCGTTGTGCGAGTGTGTGGTGGCAGTCTTTATCAAATTAATCAATGGTGTCTTTATACCTGTGTTCTGGACAGGGGGTCGGCTGTGAAGAGAGAAAACAAGAACATCATTGTCTTTGCGCGACCAATTTGCTTTGGCTTACACAATGGGCGTTGTTTAATTTTAATCGCATCTCAAAAGCCACGTAAAACGCAAGGTCTCAGCACTATAATACAATTCTGTGTTGCATGAGTGCAAGTTGGGATTACTGGCATGTGTTTGATGATTACAATGCATCTTATAATTATATTATTCGATGGAGCGGAGGTACAGCAGTTAATACACTGCGCTACGAACCAGACTACCTAAGTTCGATTCCTGGCCATGGCTAACATCAGTGGAGTTACTTCTGAACTGGTCTTGGGTCTTCTTTACCCCGGTGACCTAAGTTTGATTCCTGGTCATGGCTAACTTCTGTGGAGTTACTTCAGATCCGGTCTTGAGTATCCCTCACTTTATTGTCCACATTCGAGCAAACCTCACTGATGAGCGTAATGAAGTATGGTGAAGATAAAATACTTGGAAAATCAGAAATGTGCACGCTACAATGGATAGGTGGAGTAAGGCAGAGAGATAACAGAGAAGTGAGGACCATCAGAAAATAACTGGGGGTACCAAGTAAAGTGGACAAAACCATGAAAACAAGAGTTGAGATGGGATTGGCCATGTGGTTGCGAGTGCAGCGGGAAATATCAATGGAGGATATTTTTTTAAACAGAGATTAGAGAAAGAGGCCGCGCGAAGATGAGATGGAAGGAAAATACAAAACAGGGACATTAAAGTGGTTGGGGTCTCCTTCATATGGAATTTTCGAAGTAAAGGACAAAAAAGGAACCAATATAACTTTGTGACGAGTCTGATAAAAGATTAAATTGTATAAGGAGTTGCTTGATGTATAGCGTCCGTAAATCCTGTGCAATTGCAACTTAAGTAGTGGTCTGTTACGAATTGAACAGATTGTACGTCACCACGTGCACAATAGGGTGACAATTGTGGCTTAGGTCAGAAGAGTGAGAAGTGGCGGGGTAGTGGTGTGGGGGGAGACCCCAGGCGGGTGACCCCAAAGAAATGTGGGAATAGCTGTCGCAAAAATAAGGGGAAGATTTGACAGCAGTTTGTCTTACCTTTTGTCCCTGAGAGGAACGGATATGCCGTCTCCTTCGTAGGAGAAGGCCACCATGGCATACGGGCAGACCTGGCGCGGTCGACGACAGATGTCCAACTCTCCAAACTCAAACAGGTAGCACTGCCAATGAGAAGCACGGAGATTCACAAAATGTCATCCGACGCGAGAGGAGAAGGTCGGGTGGCTCCAGTATCATGGCACTGAGCTGACAATGCTGAGTTTTGTGAGTTCGAATTTCAGGCTTCGGCGACTCGTGATTAAATGGGGTTTTCAAGTGTACCGAGTTCATGGTCTGAGCCTGGGGAGACAGACACCGATATAGTCACCCATTGCGAAGACCATCAAGATTCAACCCTGCTTATCTTTCGAGATCTGACGAAAACGGGCACATCTAAAAGTTATCTATTAATTGGCATTTTACAGACAAAAGTCATTATATTAGTGTTACAATAAACAATACAATTGATACTCATTATCAGCCATGATCAATCCACTGCTCGATGAAGGCCTCTTCAAGCGGTTTCCATATCTCACGATGCTGTGATGTAATAATCAGAGCACACCAGCCAATTTCATCACTCTACCTCATCAATCGACGTTCTTTTGGATGCATTCCATTCCTTGGCTTCCATTCCTTTCATATTCTTGTCCATTGGTCATCATAACTTCTAGCCATTGTGTCCTGCCCAAGCCCACTAACTTTTCCTTAGAAATGTCTAATCCACGTGTTCATCTTTCTGTCACTCAATGTCATTCCAAGCAAGCGTCTCTCAATGCTTTCTTTTGTACTTTTCAGTTTATGTTCTTTATTTTTCTTATATGCCCACATGTTTCTGAGTCATAAATCACTGTAGGTAGTATGCACTGATTAAACACTTTATTCTTTAGGCACATTGCCATGCGACTTTTTTTTCTATAATTGCATTCATCTTTCCAACAGAATTCCAACCTGCTCGCCTATTTTTTATTTAATCTTTTAATTTGGGTCCGCCGTCCACATCCTTCATAGCTAGACACATATAGAGAGTCTGCTGTGCTTTCCAAATGTGTCCCCTCCAGCAGAGATCTCCAGTTGCCGAGCGATCTTGTTCTACATAACATCCGCATGCTCGTATTTATCCCGAGCCTTAACTTTGCAGCCTCCTCTTAATAAAGTTCTCTAAGCATTCCCTGCAGTTCATTCTCCCAATCTGACGTTATAATGACTATGTCGTCAGTATATCCGAGACGGTTAACAATGCTTTCTCTTTTAATAGTCTTTGTTTCTCTCATCCAATTTTCAGAAAACATATTTTATTGGGCACTGTGGATAACATTTTACATGTAACGGTACATCGTTTATAATTACCACGAGGAATGAAACATCAATGGAGGTGAGTGAAGTGAAAAACGTGAATGAAGCAAAGATCGCGGCTCCACCGCGGAGGGAATCACCTGTGAATGTTTGTGAACAAAGCAGTCGTTGTTGGAAGAGGAGTTCACAAAGGCCAGCTTCTTAGACACGTGGCAGTCGAACTGCGACGACGGGTTACTGGGTCGCTCCAGCGTCTGCACTCTCCCCTGTGTCACCACCACCAGACAAACGATCAATATCCATCAACGCGTTACTTCATATTCATTCATAATTTGTTCATCATTATCCCTTCATTTTTCATTCATACACAGCCACGTGTCAATCCACTGTTGGGATAATAGAGGATAGAGCTAGAACAATTATTTGATTGAGTCGATTAAAAAGGGAAAGGGACAAAACCATGAAATTACTTGGCTCATGCCACTGATCACAAATTACATAACGGGCAGTACATCTTTAAACTCACAAAACCGAAATCTCAGCGACACCACCCACTCAGTTACCACCAGCTTTGTTAGACGTTACCATCCAGAAATTTCTGCTCACTTGGGCCCCGACAAAGGAGGATTATGAACGTCAATTAAAGAGGTGAAAACCAAAGGTGCAGCTCTGCAATTGCTTGCTTACGCCACTGCTGACTGAAGGACCGACTACAGAGGGCTCAAGAATATTTTGGCCTACTCTTCCATGCCGGCCAGATGGCTTGGAAGTGGTGGGAATACTCGCTGCAAGCAACCTGCTGATTGACTGTGGTGAACCCATTTATAATGCTATGTGCAAAGAGACGTGGGCGGGGGGTATTAAAGAAACTTTTGAGTGGAAGAAGACAGCCTTCATTCAGCCCACTCCATTAAGTGAGAAATCACGATTGCTATCAACGTGGCGACAGAACATTGATCATTGATCTCCCGGTCTCCAAAGCAACACCACGCACAAAGAAAATGTGAAAAACTGTTCAAATGATAACTGATCAAGTAATGATTTGAAATGTATGTTTTTTATTTGAATTTTTTTAAAAATACCTCTACAAACATACCACAATTCGTTAAGGGTGTGGCATCGTGGTCAATGCTAAATTCAACAGATTTAAACACTCAGCTAATTTTTATACCATATTCTCCAGATTATACGATGCAGTGCATGAATTGTAAGTTGGAAATGCGTCTTATATTCCATTAGGTATGTGTGTGTTAGACCAGATTTGCAGGACTTCATTGACACAAGTTTGAGGTGTGCGTCTTAGTTTCGGGGAATCTTATAATACAGAGAATAGGATACATTTAAAGTAGCTTCTTGGAATGCTGTAGGTGGATGCAAATTAATAGAGATCCTACCTTGCAAATTTTGAAGATGAGCATCACACCTGTACCGATAGGCAGCTGCATTGGCTGGAGGACATCCGAGAAGCTGCACAGATACACTCCTGCCACACAAACACTTGTGTCAGTCAACTGTCATTACACATGAAAGGCAGAGGTGAAGCCCTGCAAATTCTTGGCTCATACCACTGCTGATTGAAGGGACTCTACTATAGCGAGCTCTAAACATGCAGCCAACTTGTGACATTCCCCCCTCCCAATGATACAAACAAACTGCTTGATTTCATCATGAAACTGAAAGTGTTTTTTGGTATACAGATCGACGTAGGGATTGATTAATGTGCTTGTAACACAACGTGTGGATTACAAATTCATCAAACCCCTTTACTGCACTCTTTTCTATCTCCTCCTAGCCTGCTCCAGCTCCTTGTTTCCTTCTCCTCTAGCCCATATTTGTGTTAATGTATACTCTGGTTCTGTACACCAGTTGAAATCCATCGCACTAGTGTGAAGAAGCAGAATCTAACATGGTCACGAGTACAATGTTGAAATTGATGATGATGGCCAGCCACACATTGATTGCAGTTGATCGAGATATATTTGTTTTCGGTTGCAGGTCACTAAGATGTTCGCACGTCATTAAGTATGTGTATTCTTGATTCTTTCGGTTAAGTCACGTAGAAGGGAAACAATAAAATAATAAAAATATAAAGCAATAAAATTCTCACGACAGTAAGAAAATTTTTCACATTTTTCAATTTTTCTTGCTGTGGTTTTCACACCTGATGATGATTGCTTGTGTTGCAGTCGAAACGTCGTGAGAATTTTATTGTTTTATATTTTTTTGTTTGTTTCCCTTCTACGTGACTTTACCGAAATAACTAAGAATATGAATCCCTGCAGTCACGAAAGCTTTAAATCAAAATTTAAGTATGTGTAGTCACAGGTACAGCCCTTTTCTAAATCCACTACTGAATTAAGGCCTCCCCATGCATTGCAGGTTTTGGGTGATATTTGAACATGTTAATTCACCAGACATACTGGCTATTATCCTAGAATGACAGACACTACCCAAGCAAGCAACACGTGGATTTTCTTGACACTCATACTCTTTGGTTCTTTCGGTAAAGTTACGTAGGTAAAAATAAAATTAATCAAATCATGACGTTTCGGAGGAAACACAAGCCTCCATCATCAGGTGGCAACAGTCACAGCAAAATTACTGTGGTGAGTAGAGAGCTATTTGTGACATGAGATTATATGGGGTAAGAAAGGGGGAGGAGCCAGGGAGGATGTATGCAGGGTGGGGGGGGAGTGTGGATGAGTAGTGGGGGACAGGGATGAGAAAAGCTCCTGGGCATGGTACTCATGTACCACGGATGGGGGGGGGGCGGGGGAGAGTTGGATGCGAGACAACTTTTCACGATTGAAACATTGCACGTCAAATTTCCTAGTGATGGTAATGTGTAAGGCTGGAAGTAAAAGACCGGAGATATGGATATGAATGTAAACCCTAAGGCAGCTAACGTTAAACATGGTTAATAACATCTTTCCAATGATTGCTCAATCCAATCGTGCAAAGTTGTCTCCCATCCCAATCTCCCCCGTCCCGCGCCGCCCCCCTCCCCCCATCCGTGGTACATGAGTACCATGCCCAGGAGCTTCTCTAATCCCTGTCCCCCACTACTCATCCACATCCCCCCCCACCCTGCATCAGTCCTCCCTGGCTCCTCCCCCTTTCTTACCCTATATAATCTCATGTCACAAATAGCTCTCTACTCACCACAGTAATTTTGCTGTGACTGTTGCCACCTGATGACGGAGGCTTGTGTTGCCTCCGAAACGTCGTGATTTGATGAACTTTATTTTTATTTTTACCTACGTGACTTTACCGAAAGAACCAAAGAGTATGGATCATTGCAGTCATGAAAACTTCAAATCTAGAATTTCTTGACACTCATTTGTGAGTGCAGACAGGGAAATAAGCAGATGCTATTGCTTCCACAAGCGGCTACCAAATTTTAACAAAGGAAAATAACTGTTTATCGAGACGACTCAAGGCTAGGATTGTATGATGCTATACAAAGCATTTTCAAAGAACAGCCATGCCATGCTCTGTGGCAGAAAGCATTCAACAGTCGGTTTTGGGCCATCAGGTGGTGCGCAAACGGACTTCACATTGGATATATTTCTTTATCTTCATGCGTCACTTTTGACGGATGTCGAACGTATAAGCGATATGGTTTATAAACAGTACGATGAAATTAGCGGTCGAAACCACAAGAGTGGGGATTTCAATTTGCGAGGTCAGTTACCCATTTTGGGTGTGCCCAAACAGCCAGTCTTCACGTTTCCAACGCACAGTCCATTTTGGCATGCTTCCTTTGCCTGCAAAACAGGAATAAAACAGACTTGTGGCGAAAGTTCTGTAGACTTGTCTACATTACACAGCAAAGGTGCAGCCCTGCAATTACTTGCTCACACCACCGGTGACGGAAGGGCCTCCCTTCAGAGTGCCTCACCAGGCTATTTTGGCCTCCTTCCACGCTGGCCAGATGTTTTGAAAGAGATGGGAGTACCTACATTTTACTGCACCACACAGAGCATGCCGATCAATGTTGGTTTGTCGACCTGCCGATCACCAGAAGCTGAGGATTTTAACAAACATGCACAACTATTTTTTAGACTACGTCACAAAATGCCGACTCAAAAAACAGTTTTGGTGGTAAGAACTTGAACATACTGCAGAGCACAAGCGAAAGAGGCTGGCTGATGACCAACCGTGAATACAGCAGTGGTGTGACTTCGACGGAGGGTGCAAGCAAAAATGGATAAGTATTGGAAGCTAGCCTGCCCTACCGATCGTTCGGAGTCTGCAAGGAAGAAGCCATAGGATTCGTCGAGTTCTTTCTCCAAGCGGCCCTCTCTTCGCATGTCTTTGCGCCACTCGTTGAACTGTAACAACAAGACAGATCGGAACGTTTTGGATGGATTTTTGAGACGAACATGGAACATGGGGTGCCCTGTAAAACCATCTGCAGGATACTGCTGCCCAGCATCGAACAGCATGCAGAAACCTTCCTGCGTCTCCAGAGTGCATAACTCTGAGCACATTGAGAAATTCAGATGGTTAATGCTACCAACATGTTTTCAAACTAACTTCAACTGATAACCAAGATTACAATAAACTAATATATAAACGTTTAACAGCTCATTTTATCTTGGGAAAATAAAAACAAAACAATCGGTAGCTTGTGTGATGAACGTGACATTCAGGATTGGCATGACACTCCTGCAAAGTCGTCTCTAGATAGAGTAAATGAAAAATGGAAACCACATCTTCTCCTTCAAGGTGGTACAAAGAACGCATTCAAATTGAATGCCCATTTGACAAACAATATTCTAAGATACTTGCAGAACCACATCAAACTTTGGACAGCCGTCTCTTGCAAAAACACCAGAGGTCTCCCAAATCTCCTTGATCAGACCACTCTTCTGGCGCAGCTCACGGTACCATCTAAGCATAAGCCAATCAAATTCCAACGTAATAGCATTGATCAGCAAGCCTTGCTAGAAATGGTAGCAATGGAAGGACAATTCATGGAGGGAAGGAGGTTATCTGCTGGTTGGTGTTGTTTCCTTCCATAAAATAGGATTTGGATGGGTTAAGAATGGTGAGGATATTACATTTCTGGGAGGCTCAACCAGAACACGTGCTGTATTTGCAGCCCCTCTAACCTTTGCATATCCATGCCCACTCAATCACGTGCTTCACCCAGTGAATGGCCTCCTCCTCCTTCTGACGTTGGTTCCACCTACTGCTCAGACCCTATCAATTCCCCTACAAACCAAGCCCACTGAGAACAGGTCTGTTTTGTGTATGTCTTTCTTAAATGTTCATCCCAACTGTGTTATCACTGCCATGTCATGAGACAAAAGCCATTGCAATATCTCAAATATAAGTTCATACCTTCATGTTATACAATGGTCCATGGAAGCAAACATCACTGAGCTACCTCTGAGATGCCTTCACAAGATATCTGGTCCACTACAGTAAGGGGTAGAACATTTCCACCCACTCTGCTACTCAGAATGTGAAATTGTAGTTGCTGCTCTGCATCTACATCAGCAATAAGGAGAAGACAGAGTCATGATTGCTGCATGACAAGTCAACTGATAATTTGTAATTTTCAAAGCTGGAATTTAGCTAATTTATGTGCCAAAGATAAATTTGCTGTGATGGCATTTTTGCGCAGCCATTGGTGACCGGGCTCAGACCATCAACTTACCACACCTGAGCATTTGGATTTAATAACTGCCTGGATTCAAACCCAATATCTCAACGGTGCCAGATAAATGCTCTGACCTCTGGGCCACTCAGCCACCAAGAGAAGTCTCTTTTGGGAGCAAAAGAAACCCAACTACTACAATAAACTACAGTCTACAAGTGAAAAAGGGGCTGAGGTGATTTTATACTGAAATGATAATTGATGCATCAGTGCTCATCTCCTGATTTCAGTAGTGGAAATTCCACATTCATATGGCGGGGGAGAATCTCTCCATCGGGCCACTGTTGACTTCCTCACAAAGTGGTACAAATTTAATTATGCCAGAAGGATGGGCTGCGTCAACCCGTAACCAGGATTTCTACTTACATCCTTCTGATTGTGTGCCACTCGCTCTACCACCAAGCCACCTGGCTGGTTATCTAGAAGACATGCTGTGTGCAGTAAAGATTTCACTGAAGAAATGTTTGTTGAATGCAATGGAAAAGTACCAGAGGCCCAAGTTCAAAAATGCTCGTAACATCCGGCAGGCCGCGAATGTAGTAGGCTCCAAAATGCCAAGGGCATTTTTTTAATGTGTTCAAGTCAAATTACAAATCTAGGGAAGTGGCAGTAGTTGCTAGGGGTTACGTCATCACTCCTACGACACTAGCCAATCAAAGCTGCTAGGAAGATAAGCCCATGCAACATGGCCATCATGAAGCTACTCATTCTCTCCCAACTTAGAAATGTATTTGTCCAAACCCGCTTATGGAATCGGAGTAATGACAAATAATTACTTGAACATTTTTGAAAATTGATCAAGTTCTTCTATACTCAGACCCCACGAAGTGCAACGCAATTATTTTAATAGCGATTCCTAAAATCACGACAAATGCGTCACATTACTGTGGGCGTATATACACAGGTTATAGACTAAGGAAAAGTGGGTTTGGGAATGACATGCCGTGAGAAGTCATGATAGCTGGTCATCGAGATTATTGACAGCAGCAGCCGAAGGAGAGAAAGTCCACACCGAGATGGGGTGCCACGGTGGCGAGATGTTAACTACCTCGCCTTGTATGCAGGAGTGCGTGGGTTCGATCCCGACCCTGGCCGCCTGTATATTTGGAGATACATGTTCCCCCTGTGGTCGTGTGGATTTTTCTCCAGGTCCTCTAGTTTTTTCCCTCCACATTTAAAAACTTGAGTTTGGAGTATTTAGCTGTGAGACATTTAACACAATAAGCCACTTGATTGATACTCTTTGGGTGTTTCGGTAAAGTCACGTAGATAGAAAATTTTTAAAAATCACGACGCTTCGATCGCAACACAAGCAATCGTCTTCAGGTGAAAAATTACAGCAGACGGACTTGAGCCAGGAATAAATATAACGAAAGAGCTGCTGCAGCCAGAGGTTATATAGGTTTGAGATGGGTACAACCCAAGGGTAAGTGGGCAGGGCTCTACATGGAATTTGCAAGTAAATTTAACATCGCAGAGCCAGATATACCTCAGCCATTGTATTGCTAGAGATTAGCATGTCAATCTGTTAATGTAACCCCACAACTACGGTGCTGAAGAAGCCATTGTATTGCTCGAGATTAGCATGTCAATGTGAGACGGCTCCAGCAGCAGCGGCTGTGTTAATGAGAGACATTCAGCCTATTAAATGAGCGCCACCGCTCGGGAGCAGCAGCTATGTTAGGGAGACATTTAGCCTGTTAATGTAAAAACATTTAACAAGGTAATGTAACTCAGAGAGTCGGAAATAACATCGGCAGGTAGGATGGAAGCATCACAGCCAGTTATGACTTAACCTGGTTAATAACATCCTAATGATTGCTCAGTTTGTACCCATCTTCTCGGTAGAAATTGTGTCTGTGTTTATATATCTGCATGGCTTCATGAACAAATCTTTGTTGATAGCCAGTGGGTTTGCATAGTAACTTCGTCTTGGAGAAATCAATTCCATGTGTGCCAACAGCATTAAAACAAACAGGAATACCTCAGGCACGGCAGAGGTATTCTCCTACCGTGTTTCAGATCCGCCTTGTGTTCGCGAACACGGTCTGAGACATGTCGCTTAGTTTCCCCAATGTAACTACTGCCGCAGACACATCTTAGTTTGTAGACACCGGGGTATTGCATGTCAGGGATCACATACTTCACAGATGGGAACAGATCACGAATTTTATGTACTGTGTTGAATGGGACCTGGAGCTTGTGTTTGCTCATGATTTTGGAAATCTTTTTGGTGACCCCTGCTATGCATGGCAAGGTTGAGCTATCGTTTGTGGCCAGGGTCACTTCTAAAAATAGCTATATAGCTCAGTGGGACTTACCTGATCAAATAAAATAGTAATAGGTAGGAGTAAAGAAATCAGCTCGTGTAGAGGAGCTATAATTTTGCATCGCGGGACCACGAGGGATGGTCGCCGGCTTGGGGAGGACATCCAGCAATGCAGAGTTCATAGTTTGCAAGGATGATAATACATTCTACGTAATGGATTCATGCAAACAGGAGCTACCGTTACAACAGCCAAAAAAGGAAACGATTACTTAATTGATTAGTGACTTCAAATGAACATGTAGAACTTATTTCGCACCGTACGTTGCCAACTGTGCTAATAGGAGATGAGTGGGGGAAGGATAACAAACTAAACACAAAAAGCAGTTCTAAAGAAATTAGTTTTCTATCTAGATTTAAAAGTGCATTGCTCCAGGCTTCCTAATATTGGTAGGAAGATAACACACTGCATCGTGAGGGGAAGCCAATCATCACGCCTAATATTCCCTGTTCCATATTTAACAGTGGGTCAACGTGCAAGCAATCAGTTGCGAGAACCAATTCACCCTTGGAAGCACATCTGAGAGAGCAGTTACGCAACGAGATTGTGTCTGGGAATGGCCAAACTGTCTTTTCACACCCATCACAGCAGATTTCTGCCCCCTTTTTTGGTTAGCTCCACCCCCACCAACATGAGGATTATAATGGCCAATCGTTGCTTGTAAATGTGCAGAACGTCATGAAATACATCGCTACATGTAGCCGAGCAGAGTAGAATCACTTAAAAGTCGAGCGTCTCTACTGTGAGCAACAGGTTACAGCAGCTGCTCACAACTGGTTGTAGAGATATCAACACCTACAAGGGTTTCAAATCGCATGCAACCAAGTTTCACAACCGAAAGCTCGTGTGAACCCGGCTTAATGGTGTTATATATTCTGAATGACCAAATTGAATACAATTTCTACTTACTCTTTGGTTTTTTTCGGTAAAGTCACATATAAAGAAGAAATAATAAAATAACATAATAGCGTACGACGTTTCGGTTGCAACACAAGCAGCCATCATCAGGTACAGAAGAGCTAAATTATGAGAGAGGAGAGACACATAACCTCAGATGTATATACAGACACCCAAGTAGGGGGAACTGACACAGATACAACAGGGGACACAGAGAGAGAAGCAAACCAGGCAAACAGGGTTTAGCAAAATTTTTGGAAACCATGTAAAGCAACACAGACGGTCGGTCAAAACACAATTAACGCATAGTCCGGTTTATCACGCTATTTCAAAAGACTGCTAAATTGCAAGTAAAGTATGAAACTCAGGTAAGGCTGAGTGACAATGGGACAAAATTAGCATGAGGTATGCATGGAGCAAAGTGGGGCGCGGCAGCACGCAA